TCTGAGAGATTTCTAATGGCTTTTGTATTTCCAAACAACATTATTTCAGTCTTGTCATCAATAAGTTTCAATTTATTACTGACCACCCATATTTTTAGTACTCGAATACATTTCTCAGTGGAATCGACTAAAAGTGATATTTGATCGAAATCCATAGATTTATCAATCTGAGTGCCATCGGCATAAAGATGGTAATTCATGCCATATCATCTTAAAATATCAGCAATAGGTTATGTATACATTGTTAACAAAACAGGTCTAAGAACAGACCCCTGAAGAACACCAAATCTAAGCAAAACATTATCAGAACACATGCTTCCAAACACAACTGTTTGTGTTCGATCTTTGAGATATGACTCAAACCATCTCAGGACAGTACCCTTTACACCAAACGTAGTATTTAATTTAGTCTCTCGAGTAAAATGTCATGGTCAATGGTTTCGAATGCAGCCGAAAGGTCCAAAAGAGTAAGAAGACACACCTTTCTTTCAACAATTAATTTTAAAATATCAATACAGACATTAAGCAACGCTGTCTCAGTACTATGGTGTGCCTTGTATGCTGACTGATAAACTTTGCTAAGATTATTTGCTTTAATATGCTGTAAGAGTCTGTAAGACACAACTTTTTCCAGAATTTTGGATAAGAATGAGAGATTTGAAACTGGTCTAAAATTTTAAAAATCCTTTTCATCAAGTCCAGCTTTTTCCAAAAGGGGTCAAACAGGTGCTGTCTTAAAACAATTTGGTACTGTGCCTGTGAGGAGAGAATCATTTACAATTAGGTTGATATGTGGAAGAAGTTCAGGTAAACATTTTTTTAAAAGGCTGGTGGGCATGGGGTCTAAGGTGCAAGTTTTTGATGGACTATCTAATACAATATTTTTTATTTCTTCTTTCGTTGCTGGAGTAAAATAATCGATGAACAGCCCCTTAAACTGATGGTAATTTGGGGCAATTGCGCACATTTTATCGAGCCCTTGCCTGATTGAGGTGATTTTACTAGAAAAAAGTCTGAAAAGCTGCTACAAAGTTCTGTATCGGTGCCAGGGGGTAATACTGTTCTACTTTTGTTGCCAAGCAGTTGACTAGAGATATCAAAAAGTTCCTTGCAAGTTTTAAAATTTTCAAATTTTGACAAAAAGAAAGTATACTTGGCCTTGGTGATAATTTTAGTAACAGACTTCTTCATAAAATAAATATTCCCTTATGCAGTTCAAGTCGGGTTTTGCTCCATTTTCTTCCCCTGGCCTTTTTTATTTTTTTGCAGCCTTTATTTCCAGATTAAACCACTTTCCAAAAGGACGATGAGATCATTTTAATTTTTTAACAGGAGCATGATCATCTAAAATATTCTTCATAATGGTATTGAGGGTTTCTATGTTAATAAGGGAATTCGTAGCAAGAGCATCACGAAAGTCACATTGAAATTTGTATAAATTTATATCTTCCAGATTACGAGAATGAACTGATTTTACTTCTTTCTTTGGTCTTGTGATGTTCAAGTCAAGAATCAGAAGAAAATGATCCGAAATGTCTTTGTCCAGAATGTTTACGCTTTTCACACGTTCTTTTCAATAGGGGAGATAACCCAATCTAGGATGTGCTGACTTGTATGTGTTGGTACAGTACTTGGACGGGTTGTTTTAAATAATTTTCTGTCTGCAGGTCGCTTATATTCTTAGTGCCAGGGTCTCAGAGCCAAAATAAAAATTAAAATCGCCAGTTATAATGAATGGTGCACTTTTGATCTTCAGAGTTGAAATTAAATTTAGAAATTCCTCCATAAAAGCGGATTATTTGATACAATTAACTTTACTCGGTAGAGGCCTGTATATGCAGCAGATGGTAATGTTTTGGGACTGCAGCTGGAAAGACATTAAAGCAGCCTCACATGAGTGACAGGGAATCTTTTTCACAGTGTAGCTTGTGCTAAATTAGTTCTATAAATAAACGCTACTCCTCGTCCTCTACGCCCGACACAAGGAACACACTTAATTAAATAATCAACTGGGCATATTGCTGATAAAATAGCATCATCATCTTACTCATGCAACCATGATTCTGTAATACAGAAAATATCGAGGTTCATTTCAATAATTAAATCACTAATTTAATTCATCCGCTTTATCGGTCCCCATTAGGGCTGTACCCCGGTAGCAAACCCGCTCGTGCTCACAAGCCCCTAGTTCAAGTCACAAGCCTCAAATCAGTAGGTCAAATCATCAAATCAAATCACCAGCATGATAAGTTGAGTCTAGCGCAAACTGTAACCTCCTTGGTCTAGTCTAAACTTCAAGTCCACAGCAACTAGCAATCCGCGAAGCCACTCATGTCAGGCCCCCTCATCATCCCCACCCTGCTTGCAATCCGCGAAGCCACTTACGTCAGAAAAAGAGAGGGGGAGAGTGAGAGATCTCGCCCACAGAGTCACTGCGCGGCGTGGCGCTGTAGTTTACCCGATTAATCGAGGCCTGCGCAAGCCTCAAGTCCCGTCCGCTGCCACAGGCCCCACAATTCACACAGTACTGATTTGCGCTAGGCTTACAGATTTGCCCCAGGACAAGCTCCAAACCTGACCTGCTGACTTGTACTGTCTCGATACACCGAGCGAGCGGCACGGGCTCGATGGCGTAGGACCGTCTTGATGGCGACAAGACAGTCCGATGTGTTCAAACAGCAAGACAGTACTGTGCGCTGTGTGAACTTTGAACCGTGGAGGAAGGGAGAGGCTGGGCTTGTTTTGGTGCAAGGCGTAGAGAGCTGAAGTTATTTTTAACTTCCCGCCGTTGATCAGCTAAGCGAATGGATAAGTGAGAGGGAGCGTGGTATTGTAGTAACAGAGACCTAGGTTTCTGATAATAATAAGAATAAGTAGACTTAGATTACCCTAGAATGGAGAACTCCAGGGGTCGTTGTGATTGGCTTTTGTATCGTATGTATGTAACCTATTTTGTAGATGTGTTACACTCACAGTGACATAATACAGAACATTTAGGAGACGGGCTAGGCCTACTTCAACCCAATGTCAGGGCCAACCTGGGCTGAGAGGGAACAACGCCCCAGCAGAAAGACGGAGGTTCTCAGTAAAAATTTCTCCCCATACGGGAATCGAACTGAGGTCTTTTGCGTGCGACGATGAAGCGCTTGGCTCGTGCACATTAAAAATAAACAGGCCTTAACATCATAAGAATAGCCGATCCAATATTAATTTTTAAGTGCATTGAATAGAGCTTTTTGTTTTTTACAACCGAACTATGAAAAAAACAACAACCGATCTTGCACTTTTGGTGCAAGCCTCTCAACGCAAATAACCAGAGAATCTATAATATGTACTGAGCCCACTGCCACGAGAGTTCGCGACGTCACGACACAGTACAGCAGGACTGTCCGCGAGTCACAACTCACCGGAAGTTCCCTCCGGTAGCAAGCGGGAGGCAAATCAAACCACAAGCCTGCTCGCAAGACTCTAGCGCAAGACTTCCGCTGCTTTACAAGCCTTCGATTAACCGAGCAGAATCCAGCCCTAGTCCCCATGGTTTTATGCACCCCGCATAATTTAGCAAAATTTGATCATTTTTTGCATAATTTCAAATTATTTTCCTTTATCATTCCTTGTTAAAATTAACAAAATCACATAATTTCCCATTTTTTGGCTCAGTTTGCATTATTTCAGAATTTTTCTTGCATAAAACAACGGGGACAGCTCTATTACATGACCTGGTGTTAACGCAAAGCTACTCTGACATTTGTGTTACAACGCCGAGCAATCAGGCACTCGTAAATTTTTGGGCACATATATATATGGAGTTATTGGTATCATCTTAAAGGTTATTCATTTGCCTTGCTTTCAAGGAAAAAAATATCCATTTATCTTGACAAGAAATCGAGATATTTGCGATTGAAGAAAGTGCATGGGGGTCGCCTGGTTTCAGCAGTAAAATTAACGAGAAAATGGCATCCAAAGTTTTGTAAATTTCCACAGCTTTAGAGTCCTCGGAAACAGCAAATTTACATTTTATTCCTTTAATCAAAGGTTTTCCAAAAAAAACCACATATAAAAGTGTTTTTGAATGGACATTCAAGGTGTTTAGCCAAAAAACAAAAATTTTAAAAATATGTCTAAACTGGCTGAAAATTGTCGATTTCTCGGATTTCATTATTTTGACGAGTGCCTGATTTCACCACGATGCCTCACATTTTGTGTTATTTCTAGCAAAAAGTTCCGACAGTCGATTTTGACAAAATTACTAATTTTGATTCTGTTTTCCAGTCTACTGCTGACGCATGAATTTTGTAAGTTCTGAACATTAGACTAAACAACACAGGGATTGTCCTTTGTTTTTGTCGCCTACCTCTTTTCTTTTTTCCAAACTACCAAGCCAATCATGGCGAATTGAAAACTGATCATTTTGTAGAAAACATGTGTAGCAACAGAAAGAATTATACTAATTGCAAATTACACTGAGGGTATGCAGTACTGCAGGGGGAAAATGACAAACTGTAGAGTGAGTGGGCTGTATCAGAGAAAGCAGGCTGAAGGGCTAGAACACTGATGGCAGCTGGATCGGAAAAGTAAAATGTCAGAGAATGGGTGTGCAAGGAGTGAATGAACTGAACTTGGATAATGCAAAAAAGAGTCGAGTGTATCTGAGCATTCCGTGGGTGAGGATGGTTTGTTTTGTCTGACCAGTTTGAAATCTTTTAGAAAAAGATATTTCTTAGAATATTAGGCAAGTGCCATTCCAGCAATGGACACCAAAGTTGAAGGCCCATACTTAAAGTTGATCAAATTTCTAAAACCCCCATAATGAGGATAGATTCAAACTACTCGGTAAAAAAGACTTAGGCGTAGCCCTATAAGAAAACAATTTGCGAGGAACCACTAAGACAGACAGTCTCAAGGAATTCCTTCGGTGTGAGAAAAATAGGTTAATGTACTAAGAGCACAAAAACATAGAAACTGAATCTTTCATTTCTTACATATATATAAAGTAATACCTTGAGGTGCCTTAGTATTTCCCAAGAACACATCTAGAACATCCTGTCCAAAGATGACCAGCTGCACATTTGTGAGAGACTGTGGCTTTCCTTCTCCAAACTTCTTTATGGTGCCCAAAATTTGTTCCTTCATTTTGACGTAGGTGTTGGGTCGAGCTGGAATAGAAAACCTTACGAATAAAGATCTGGCCTGAAAGTGGAGTAGACAAATATGAAAAAGTAGCATATTCTAAAGAGAAGCATCATTTTGATGCAATAAATAGAGTCATCAGCTTACACCGAAAATCTGTACTGAGAACACACAAGTTTCACAGATATCATTTATAGTGAAAAATAATAAAGGCTTTCTCCTTCTTTTGAGGAACCCACAAGCTTACATTTTGATGGTCATGTCTCACTATCAACAAAGTGTGAAACTGAGGCCCTGTCTGCAGTAAACAATAGATTATGGTGAGAAAAGTTTGGGGCGTACTATAGACCAAATTGTGAAAAGAAAATTTCAGAACACACTGAAGATTTTGTAGTCTACTACTCTCACAAAAAAGTTAAGCTTTACATGCCAGTGCCTAAATATGACCATAACAGACAATAACTAGCATAACAAAATGTTCAAGAAGTTCTGAAATTTTGTAGTCCCAACAATTTGATGTCAAGACTAGATTTAGACACTAGCATATCACTTATCCTACATTCCTTTCTACATGATCGGGGGGGGGGGGGCAAAAAATAATACTGAATGATAAGACTATCAGTAGAAATTTTCAAATATCACGACTACTCCACCTGTAGGGAGACTTAGCTCTTCAAACTTTGTCTGACTTTGATGAAAGGTTCCAGGAGACCTTGATCATAAAGAAAGTTTAAATCAAGCGACAGATATGAGTGTCCAGTTCTCGAAAAAAATGCTGTCAAATAATAAGCAAAAAAAGTCTAAAAGTCAGTGGATTCAATTGCTCATCAGGAAATCTAATCACTAGTCACTCGTTACAGAATAATAATAAATAATAAATTTCTCGTATGTAATGACAAAATAATGAGAAACAAAAAATCGAAAGTATCTACGCATTCTCTGTTCAGAGAGTTAAGTCAATGACACCAGACCCATCCTTTCAAGCTCAAACTCCTATACTGACATACAGGATGTCCCAAACTCGAAGACCGCCAAAATAATTAAAAAATAAAAACTGCTTTAAATACAGCACAGTCCTTCGGTAGAAACACTGTACAAAGTCTCCCAAAGACTAATGCAAGAGTAGCGGGAATCAGAGTCACTATAAAAATTACCAAACCAGCATCGAAGCAGAAAAACTCGACAAGAAGGGTCAGAGTCATTATTCGGTGTAATTTGCTCATAAAAGACAGAGCTAAATGTATTTCAGGTGACAATATCAGATAGAAATGTGAAAACAGACAATATTTTACTAAAGTTAACACTGATGTTTTTTTATATTCCTTTGAAATCATTATAAGATATTCTCCTGTAAATATTCAGAATGATCAAGTACTGTTTGTCCTAATCAACTCTAGAAAAAAAAGAAAGTTAGACACTGCTACCACAGGAAATCTTAAAATCCTAAAACATTGCAATGTGCTAAACTACCACAAGGTACTTTCACTTTAAAGACATTTTTAAACATCTGTTCAGATAACTTTCAATGAACACAGGATATGAGTTTTTACAGCCTCAAGAGAGTTAAGAAGAATTTTAAATCGGTAAAAGTAATCTAGGTAATTCTTATTGCGGCGGAACTTTATAAAACTTACCTGTTCCAAATGCAGGCATTGACACAGATTTCAAACCAAGTTTGTCAGCTTCGTTGAGTGCCAGAGCAACACCTTTGTCCCAGCTGTGTGCAAAGTGCTCCATACTCAAGAAGATAATGTGTTTGCATTGTAGACCATGTGAACCCGTCACAATACACTTAGCAGAAGCCATATTGTTCTCTGACAGAATATATATAAAGATATACACCAGTTAGAAAATAATCACGCTAAGAACCATTGAAAATGAAGACGGCAAACTGGGATACTTTAGTGTTAACTTTCTCAAAATTCTGATTTATAATTCTATGAGAATTAACGTGTGTTAACTTAGGTTTCCATAAAAAAATCTTAATACACATGAACCAAGCTCCAAACATAAAACAACCCCTGGATATCCATGATTATTGAAAACTACATATCAACAGGTCAGCTCTACCTCTGAAAAAGTAAGGAAACAAAAAAACAATCCATGAAGACACAGACTAGTCTATTTTCATGACAGAAACCGCATTGGACACATTCCAATAATATCACAAACCAGGAAGAAAAGATTATCAGCACACACATGACTTGTAATTCAATTAATCTTTTTTAAGCTTACAGCATTATTTTGTCTTTGACGTAATGCTTGTATATATGTCTATATTTATGATCTCAAATAACTTGCACAGTTAAAAAATGCAAACTTGATTATGAGGCTGCTTAACACAGGGACAAATAACCTTACAGTTATCAAATTTAGTCTTCACTGGTACCATCAATTAAGCATCTTTGACAAATTGTAAGATACAGACATCTAGATGATAAATGTCCAATATAAAACTCCATAAGCAGGGCTGCCCACCCACTACCATGTTTAAGAAATCAACAAAGAAAAAATGACTTATGTGGCTTTAAAAATCGTCCTATAGCCATGGATAGCTTTTTCCCCTGGGGTATAAAGGACAGGGATTGCAGGTTCAAGAATGAAAGTAATATAAACAAAGGCATGATGAAAGAGGTCTCCGTAAGCTTGTCGTTGCAGAGTTAAGGGAAAAAAAAAGGGGTGGGGGGGGGGGGGGGATTAAGTTATTGACTGTGAGCTTGAATCTTGTAAAAAAAAAAAAGAAATGATGGCACAACAGAACACATCACAAGCCTATGATCCTGATTGTGTGCCATTACGCACCACACTGCATGTCCCCGCTGATAGTTTCGAGTTTCAAAAAATGATCTGGATTTTTAAAAAAAGTTCTCTCATTAACCTGGGCAGTCACCCATAATGCAAAACAGTAAAAACTTCTTAATACATTGTGAAACTAATGTTTGTCTTAACCCTGGGTTTGGCGTTACTGATATTTTTTCTAAGGACAAAGCGGCACTGAGCCACTAGCACTACAAGGGCTCTATGCACAGAGGGTGTTAAAGTTAGACAGCTGCACATGACAGAGTGACGTAGACAGTTGGAGTTTCAGTATTTTTTTTCCAAAAACCCTAGGAGGATGAAAATGGATTTGGGTATCTGAACGGCAAATCAATTTTCAAAAATTGTAACCAGGGTTGTTATGATTATATTTTCCTAAGATTGAGAAAAAAATCCTGATAATTCTACTAAATTTGGATTGATGGGCAGCCCTGTATAAGCCATCAGTAACAGAGAAAAGGACATGAGAAGTCCTACAAAAATCTTCATGAACTACTAGTCATACAATGGGCACCACTTACAACAGTCAAGGTTATGACAGGATTTTATCTATAGTAGACTTATTATAAACCTCTGCATCCGATCTCTTATAATGTTCAGTAAAATATTTCTTTTATAGCGGGCACTCCAATAGACATGCTCGGCTATAACAGTGGTCCAACCGTTGACAAAATCCAATTGAAAGTAAACAGACAGGACAGAAGAAAAAAGCAAATGAAGCAGAACAATATCCAAAGTGGCAAATTGCTCCTCCGCGACTCACAGTAGGCCTTTAGAGGTGGATTGTGTACACATTATTATGTGTCATACCATGTGTGCAAGGGATGGAAGGAGAAAGCTGGATGCACTTTGGTGTTGATGCAAATCCAGTCAATGACTAAGTGCAACCTTTGTCTGACACAACATTGTTACACAGTCTCCCCCTGAGGTTGCGAGACTTGTAACATGAATAATAGGATCAAATGAAAAGTACATCTACTGCATCTATATGAGTGTGTTCCTTTTCCTTTCAGTAGAAACTATTTGATTACGAATAGCTGTAAAGCATACAAGCATGCTGCAGACTCTTGCAGGGTAAGGATATGCACTAAAAGCAATTACATGTATTACTGTCACCCATGCATCAAACAATATATTATGTCTAGTCAACCCCCATAAGACTAAGAATAAAATATATTAGAAAAAGGAAGATAAAGATGAGGAGCAGAAAATGTTATCATAGGTAAAGAAATGGGCTATAACTGATAAATCGGTGGTATGCCAAGTCAGTGTGTAATAAAAATGATCTCATATGTTAATCATTAGTTAGAGTGTACGTAAACTTGATCCTTATCTTTAAAAAAGATTCGGCTATAACAGCAAGGTAAAACATCAGTCCCAGCAGTCCTGTTATAGCCAGGGCCCACTGTATTTGTTTCGGGATGTTTATAAATGGAAATTTTGTTTTACTATTAAGCCATGGTATAGATCAGATGGGGACCAAAAATATTTAGTCAAGAAATTATCCACTGCATTTTTGACATTTTGTTATACTTCTTGGGTCTACTTGTCTCTTCCTCAGAAAGTAACAAAGACATACTTTTTGCATTGCATTCGTCCTGGACTGCAGAGCCACATTTCTTTAAAATAGTCTTTGACACAGCACCTGTCGCAAAGAAAACAAACAAAAAAGTTAAAACTTTATCAATATTGTGTACATACAGTAGCAAAGTCTGCACAGCAATGATTCACAGTCACCTGGGCCCTAAGCTTCAGAAGAAAAAGAAAAAGGACAATGATAAAGTATCCAGCAACTTTTCAGTTGTCAAAGGCCTCATTCTTCTATCAGCTTTATATCAGACTGAAATATAACGTTTTGCCTGAATGTCGAAAAAGATTAGGTCGAAAGGGGAAAGAGGAATATATGATCTGATTTACAAGAAATTAGATTAAATGCACTGCAGTGAAAGCAAAATATTGCCTTTGGTGATTCAGTAAAAGAGGGTCATTCCAACTTCTTGAACTCACAACGCAACAACATAACAAATTTCCAAGACTTTTGGGATACTTATCACCACACCAAATTGACCTTTTTGGCCAATCTAAAATAATTAGATCATTTATTCTTATGATTTTGAAGAAAACTCATTTTGAGACGCATGCTATTGTTATATTATAAAACCAAAATTGATGTGAAAATAAATCCATCAATTGCACAACAAATAACATTTATCAAGTCACTATATATGAAAAAAAAACCCAACTCAATACCTGAGATAAGCACAAAAAAAAACTGCCTCTTTTTTTTACATTTCATAAATCAGATACCAAAGGAGATGCTCGATAGGTGACAAACATTAATACTTTAAAAAACCCAAACAAAATATAAACAAAATGTCACAAAACTAAAATGCATGTTTAACTATGTTTGCACCTTTATTCTTACGATATGAAAAGATTTCAATTCTCAACATTTGACAAGAATCAGCATTATACAAAAAAAAGTATCCGTAACAATGATGCTTATTACGTGACATCTTGGAAAATGCATTACTAGATCAAAAATGCAAAATTACAAGCAATGATATAGTTTTAATATTACACGAATTTAGACTTTACATCAATAACGTGTGAAGTTTAGGCAACTTTACAGCTATTTTGACTAAATTTATAAACTTTCATTCTTTGGATCTCCAAATTCCTCCATTTAACAACTAGAATTTCTTGTCTTCCTGAAGCTCATAAAACCAATTTATTTCAGCCATAATTCAACCATTTACAATAAAAATTATATATGTGTGTGTATGTGTGTGTGTGTGTGTGTGTGTGTGTGTGTGTGTGTGTGTGTGTGTGTGTGTGTGTGTGAGGCAGCGCGGTGAAATCAGGCACTCGTCAAAACAACGAAATTGAAGAAACTGGCATTTTTCTGCAGGTTTGGGAATTTTTATTGAATTTTTATTTTTTGGCTCAACACCTTTCATGTCCATTAAAGAACACATTCCTGTGTGAAAGGCACTGAAAAAGTTCATTAAAGGCACAAAAAGTAAATTTTCTGTTTCCACAGACTCTCAAGCTAAGGAAATAACTAAACTTTGGCAGCCATTATCCACTAATTTTACCTCTGAAACCAGGCGACCCCTACCTCCTTCAATCTCAAATATCTCGACTTGTATTCAAGATTACTGGATATTTAAAAAATCAAAAGCATGACAAATGAACAACCTTTAACCCTATCCATACGCCCTGGGGTCATTTTGTACCTCCGGGGTTGTATTCTTCACATTTTTGAATACTTCTAGTACGAAGATCTCTTTGAAACTTTCAGTATTTCTCAAAAAATCATTTTGACAGACTGCTATGCAAAGCGCACGGATTGGACTAATGAGTAAATTTCCTCTTTGAAAGTGGTGGCACAGAGTTCCCAATGTCATATGGATACGATAGTAAAACACGATGTACGGATAGGGTTAAGATGATACCAATAACTTCATATGACCAAAAATTGAGGAGTGCCTGATTCCATCATGTCGTGACACACATATATATACACTCGAACCTGCCGTGACGGCCATCTGTACAATACGGCCACCTGTACAAACGGCCACTTTCCATTTTCCCCATTGTGTTTTTTTAAAGATATAATTTAACTTTAAAACGGTCACCTGTCCAACGCCGCCGCAGCCACCTTATTTGATCAACCCACAGTCAAATTTGTCTGCCTCAGGCGGCCAGGCATGGTCACTCATTGCCCTATGCTTTGTCAAAAAATTTTGAATCAGTCCCTCATGCTGTGGACGGGCCTTCATAATTCATTCACCTGTCGTTATTGTTAGTCCCTCCAATGAATGTCCAATTTGACTAATGGCTAGGCCTAACAATGAATTTTCAACTGCTGGTTGACGTTGACGTGAGCTTGCGACAGAAGCGTCACTTGTTCTCCGAGTGGTGGCAACCTGGGTGTTTGTTTTACGATGGCACTTGGTCTTTATCGTCTTACTTGCATAATATTTAGTTTATTTTACTCTTGCACAAAATCAGCAACAATAAGAAAGCTAACCAAAAAAACCCAACAAAAAACAAAACCAAACCAACAAAGCAGCAATACAAAAAACCCTTCTTACACCACCAACCCACCTTTTACAAAAGAAAACAAAAACCCTTTTGAATTAGCCTTACGGCAGTCTAAAGCTTGAGATCAGCCCTGGTTTGGACCTCGGAAGAGAATGATTTGCTTTCTTCATTTTGATCAGTTCTGCCTAAGACGGCCACCAGTGTTATACAGCCACTTTTCTCCTTGACAATGGGTGGCTGTTTTACACAGGTTTGACTGTATAATCATGTCAGATTAAATTAAAAATCATTTTCAAACAATTTTTACCAAGGGCAAACGAACTCGCAGTGACTTAGAAAGTTCTCATATCACCGATAAATATCAAACAATCAAATAAACACCCACCTAAAAAAACTATATCCCAAGAAAACAGCATATTCAATGCAAATTGTGATGCCTGTTTCAAAATATACACAAGTGATACATGTTACAACAGTAGATCAACATAACATGAAGTCTGTCCCGCTTACCTGGTCTGGAGGGCATCATTTTGAAGTCCATTTAAAAGCAGTAATGGGGTATGGAATTTATAAAATTAGAAACGACAGCCAAATTGAAAGAAATATCCAAATACGGGGTTGGCAAACACCTCCTCACTTGTTACATCATGGCAAAAATTGGACCCACCACAATAAAATGCATTTTTTAAAGCACAAAGCCTCATGGTGGCTTCAAATCTCAGACTTTTCTATTTGTGAGGCGTGCTGACAAAATGAGTTACTTCTCGCAATCCGCACATGGAGATATTGGCTAAAAATCGACATTAAGGTCAAAATTGTAGATTTTCAATTCATGCCATATTCTTTAACCATAACCTGTCTTTTATTATTTTATACTTATAAATTGTGAAAAGTTCACCTATAAGCATGTTGTATCTATTTCCTTATGGCTTGAATCTGAGAAGTAACTCGTTTTGTCAGCACACTTCACATTTGTCTCATCCATAGTATACTGGAGAACGGGAGGTTTATAAAAATTCACTTCTGCAGTCAAATCTAAACACCATGCCTGCAATGTGACATTAGAATAACAAGCATTACAGACTTCTGTTGAACGTTTTTATATATTGCTTTGAACAATAATGAGGTTTGTCATTTAAAATTCACTGGCGTAGAGATGAACCCTTTTCATTATAACAATGAAATCTTGAGCTCTTTGACTTTCATGTCTGTCCTGTTTCATAAACAATATGTGAGGATCTGTAATTTATCCTTTTGTAAGGTACAGAAAAGATAGGTATATTTGTCATCACGATAAAATACTAAAGTTTCAGTATGGCTTCCATCAAAATGCATAGTACTACTGTCTCTGTGAGGTCTTCACTTTTTGACGGAGGCCTTGAATTAGCAGCCTTGACCTTTTTTATGCTGCCGGTTGCCATGTAAATACACTTCGTGTCTGGAGGACAATACACTGACACAGGAAAAAAACCACAACAGAAATCTTTGACGAGCAAAGAAAAAACATCAAGATAGAGGAATTATTAGAAAAAGCAAACAAACTAAAAAAACACCACAAAATAAAAATTACAGCCAATCTAATTGGCAGTCGACACTAAGAGAGTTAAATACACAGAATGTGTGTTATGACGCAATGGAATCAGGCGCTCGTCAATTTTCGGGCATATGGAATTATTGGTATCATCCTAAAGGTTATTCATTTGCCTTGCTTTTGGAGAAAAAATATCAATTTATCTTGAATAGAAGTCAAGTTGCGATTGAAGGAGGTGGGGTTGTCTGGTTTCAGAATTAAAATTAATGAGAAAATGGTCGCCAAATAAGAGTCATCGGAAATTGCAAATTTACATTTTTTGTGTCTTGAATCGTTTTCCCATAAATTCCACACATAAAAGTGTTTTTGAATGGACATACAAGGTGTTGAGCCCCCCCAAATAAATTTCTTAACCGGCTGAAAAATGCCAATTTCTCAGATTTAATTATTTTGACGTTTGATTTCTATGTGTAGAACTTTGTATCCAAGCACATGATGAATATCTTTAAAGCAGGCCAAGGGGACAGTCATGAAATGGAAAGTTATTTTGTATATTTCAAAATGCCATAACTTCTTTAATATTGAACTATATGTGTGTGCGCCTAGAGAAAGGTACCAAAAGTTGCTCCAGACCGTTTCGAGCTAGAGGCTGATAATGACAAAAATCACTTTTTTGACCAAAATGTGTTTCCATAAAAAATGATAGATCCACCATTTTTTTACAATGTGCTCAAAGGGTTTTCATTGATTTGACTTCTAAGTACTTCATTTTGAATTATTTTGAGGGTAGGATATAATAAAAACGAATAATAAAAATTGCTTTTAAAAGGTGTTAAAATCTATTCTTGAACTGAATGCCAAATTGGAAATGAGTTTTCCATGAATAATGCATTAAAAAAATAGCTTTTTAAAAAAGTCTGTAGGCCTATGTGTTTTCACCCTTGTTAAACTCAAAAGCTTATTTTCTCAAAATTGTATCTTTATACCCTACCTCGCAAAATTTGCAATATCTCAAAAACTACTTGAGGTATCTAAAAAATTCAAAAACCAATGTGTTCAGCATTGAATTTCCCATTTAAAGTACAACCCTCAACTCAAAATGGTCAAAATCTGACTTTTGGTACCTTTCTTCAGGCACACACACAATATGCACAAATCCGATTAGAAATCTTAAAGAAAAAATGAGCTCTATTTATAGGAAAGCTTAATTTCCATAATAATCAATTTTAAGAATAGTTTGCTGTTCCAATGCGTATTGATTTGCACATTTTGTGGCTCAAAGAGAGTTTTTTTATGCATTGCTTTTCTATCGAAACTCAACAAGACACAACACAAGACACAATACTTGTCACTGAGGACAAATAATACAGATAAAACCAGTACTAGTAAAAATGCATTAAATAATTAGATCCAAACTGAACCCCAAAATCTGTGGGTCCGTCAAGTTCACAAACAACTGTACTATAGCAGCCAACACAGAGAGAACGAACTGTTTCTATATGACATAATAGAATATATATTAAGGCCACACAGCTCGACAATAATATGCTCCATTTACTGTGAAGTCTCTCACCTGACCCAGAGAGGTTCATGGTCTCTTTTAGTCCAGCAACAATCACATCACAACTCTGAGTTGTGATATCTCCTTTCTGTATTTTCACATCCAAAGACCCATATCTAAGTGAAGGAGAGCCCCCTGCAAGGAATACACAAAGAAAAACATGAATTATTGAACACGCAGAATCTCGGGCACAAAGTAAGTTACACATATTAGTCACTACTGTAATTGTAACAGTGGGAATATTTTTTTAATCAACTTGTCAAAACAAAGCTTTATCTCTTTTACAAATCTGCACTGCTTATTTTGGGAAAAGTCATTGACGAATAAATCACTAAACATTCCAAACATTCCCACTGTTTGTTCACTATTTGTATCCCCCCACCCCCCTCCCCTTTTACTTTTCAGAACAATAGCTCATATAGTCATTTGGAATGCCTTTGCAGGACAAAGATAAAAAGAAACTTTTTTCACATTTGTTGTATTCATATATATCATCCTTCATGATTAAATGAATGTTCTGCCCTGAGATGAAGCTACAAACATAGACTTTATTTTGCTAGATTTCCACACTGTAAGGCATGAAGGAAAGAGATAGAATGCATTCAAACAGAAAAACAACTGAAACATAGAGCTTCACACTCTCATTGAATTGCATGTAGCATGACAAGTTCATGAAGAGGGAGACAAAATTGAAAAGTTGTAGTGAGTTATCTCTTGTCTGTAATGCATGTTTTCAGGTTTCAAAAGTCAGGTGGAGGATAAGCTGTAAGCACCAGGTTACTGTACGAGATGAACCCCCTTTCAACACTGTTAGGTTGTTAAAGAGGCAGGACCTTTGAATTTAAGATCTCCAATAGAAATGAGCCAGATGGGTTGAGCGCCTTGAAAACTCAACAAAACAACAGGAGTTCAAGAATGCTCAGTCATAGATTCGAACTAGAGCCCTCTCATCTGTTGTCTAGCATTAGAGCAACTGAGCTAACACAGCATCCAAGATGAGTTGTGGCACTAAGTTGCTTCAGTACAGACAATGCTTTGTCAACTCATAAGGCCCAAGGGTCAGAGTTCAGTAAAACAGTTACGCGTTCCAGGTTGGAAATCATGGCAACTACGAACCTTGTCTAGGAGTAGGAGAAGCTGCAAGGCCATGTCCAGAACTAGCTCTTTGGAAGGCCTGAAAATGAGAAAGGAAAAAAACAGAAAATAGAATGTGAAATTGAGTGGTCATATCACTAGATATCTCCAAACAAAAAACAAAAAAATCTCACAAAATAATAATTTGAATTCACACACAGGATCAGCCTTCTATAATGGACAGAACAATGTTTTGTATGGGGTTTCAGACTCTAAATTTCATTTTTAAACATGCCCAAATCTACCACAGAGAAACAATTATGCCAAAAGGTTTGATGTGTATCATATTTTATCAAACGTACAACTTTGTTATTAGACAAAATTCTTTACAGTAAAATAAAGTGTGCAAGAACAAAGTCTTGACAATTTCTCTTGGGTGTTTTCTTCATTCTGATAAACAAGACCACAGTGAATGCAAGATAGATTAAAAAGTTTCTCAAAGACCCAAGCGCACTCGAGTAATATTACAAAGCGCCAGTCAACACTAACCAGCCTAATGACTGAAAACAGCACACGCTTTACCTGAAGCACATCCTGAGACCTCTCATGTATAACAAGCACCACTGACTGTAAGGAAGATGATGGATTATCCACAGCAAACTGCCTGATGCTATCCATAATGCACTTTGCAGAATTATCTGAAGAGGATACATGAGATATCATAATAGTACGTGGATGTATCACGAGAACATCAACATAAAACAACGCTTTTGTCCTATTCCTAGAAGGTTCAGAAAGCTTAGGACAGAACCTTGAACATACTTAAGATATTTTGCAAATCTGTATCTCAAAAAAAAAAAAAAATCTAATACTGATACACAGGTAATTTTTTTTTTCTCGAATATTATAACATCATACTGAAAATTGAAACCACAAACTATAGATCTAATAGGTAAAAAAAAACCCATTAACACAATCGCTGACTAACCAAATTCCGAATTAGTAATAGATCTAGATATCATTATGCCTTTTTCAAGTAGTTAGTAAAATATAGTCAGAATAGTTCAAGACGGCCACCCATTTTTGAGTACATGTCTTAAAGTGGTTCAGTGTCTTGAGTGAATTATGGTATTTTAAAATGCCTAAAGCAGTTCATTTTCAGTATGACTTGGAGTAATGTTGGCATTTTTATACCAATTCTTCTTAGTACTTCTTTATTCTTAATCTTCTGTCTGCGTGATATTCTTACAGTTCTTCTATAAATTCCATTTAGAAAGCTATAATCCTTCTTGTATCTTGTTCATAGATTGTTCAGGTTTCATATCCATATTTATTTCACTGGGAACATATTAAAGTGCTTCTTAGAATACTTATTTTCTTAAATTTATGCATTTTCAGATTGGTATCATCTTTTTAAATTTTGATGTTGTAATTGCAATTCTGAGTGTAATCTCTGTGAAAGATTAGGACATGAGAATTGACCTTCATAAGCCCAGAGAATGTGATTTTCAGAAGCTACATCCAGCCTAGTCTAAAGAAATGATTTAGGATGCAACAATAGGAAAATATTCTGGGAAACATTATCTTCACTTCTATTATATTATTGGGACACGGTACAAGATAAGCATAGCCTGCTAATGTCAAACCAGACGAATATATACATATTTTGCCTTTGATCTCAGTCTGATATCAAATCAAGTTGGAAAAGGAAAGAAGTTTCTTCTGTTCTTTTTTCTCCCCTTTTCCCCACCAATCTACTGTTCCAATAGCAGACTTGGAAAACAACAACCCCTTCTTGTCCACAAAACAGAACTTAGAGTTTACTAGTCCTAGGTAAAGCAAAGAACAAATGCCTGCCATTTTAAAGTAATTCATCTTATAAAGCATTTCATTCCACTAGAATGTCATAAACAAAGTGACAAATCATTAACCCCTTTGTTTCCTTTATGATATATATCTGGTAGATCACAAAACGTGTAATTCTTAGCTTCACCAAATTGGCATGTATTAGTTTACTGCTAGGCTTGCCCTCGATTGATAAACACAGGTCTAGTCTTGTTGATGACAGCATGTTCTCACACAACATAAACACCAAAATGACTTAAAATGGGCAGAAAATTTATAGACTTAGATTTGCAAGTTTTTCAAAATTGTGGCTAAAATGGGGTAGGGAATGAGTAAAGTGATACTATTGAAGACCTGGGGGCCAAAATATGTCACAAAAGGTCTAGATCTCGACCAAAAGTCCACTAACATGTCTCAGACACAAGACTGCTGTCCTGGCTAACGAGCTTAGTTGAAATCAGTGTTGACAGCAGGAATGCACACTCCTGGCAATGAAGGGTTTAAAGTATTGAGTTGAGCCAGCAATACAGTCATAGGTTACTTTCCAGAAAAACATTCTGGTTTGCAGCACAGTTCAGAACAGATTGGCCTCAAGTCTGAGACCCAACAAAAGCAGTTTGCCTGGTCGCCAACTAAAAACAGTAGAGTTGTGAACATGTGGCTTCTGATATAAGAAAGAAAATTAGAGGATGTGGGTTGCAGTAGAGACTTATTTTCACTGGCACCTTCTGGAATGATAGCATTTGTGTGCATGTATATGTGGGGTTAAGGGGGTCTATTTTGACAAGTTCAAAGCTTACCACCACTCTGAATCATTAATACTGGCTTCTCACACTTAGCCACTTCCCACTTATCTCAGCCTTATCACTTGTCCTACTATTTTCTATTTACAAGTTTTGAGACCAAAAAAAAGGGTGGAACTACACTTTACGTAGGAGCAATAAAAATAATGTGCTTGTTAAACTTGACGAGGAAGACCTAACCTTTCTGCTTAGGAAAAGAGCTTTAATAACACATACAATACTGGCAAGCAAAATTCTCAAATGAATAAGAAGACTGACAGCTTTTGAAACTCTATTTGCAATGCTGTGCTTTGGGCCGGAAATTGGGATGGGCTGAGGCGTAATTCTTCGGCTACTTGGGATCAGAGGTAGTAGCCCCTTTTCTAAGTATAGTTACTTAGAAGGAGGACGAACATGAATTAAACTTGGCAACCAATCGGAAGAAAGGACAAGCTTACTGGTTTTCAAAAATGAAGAGGAGCTGCTATGTCGTTGTTGACAAGGCAGGTGCTCCACACATCTTTTATATTGCTTTAAAATACCAGATCTCTGTATGTAGCACATTTTATGTACCAACTTAAAATTAACACTCATCCTGAGATTTTTAACATTTAAATCCATAGTTCTTAGAGTTTTACTTCTCTTTTGTTTAAGCTTATTGTAAAGCAATTTGAAAAAAAAAATGTTTCATTACCATCACTAGCTCTATCCATCTCAATTGAACATTAAATCAATTGAACCAACCTGCAGGATATCTCAAGCCTCCAGTTCCCAGAGCACACAGAGAAATAGAAGCTGCCTGCAGGGAGCTGGCTTCCTTCAGGATACTGTCCACAAGGGCCTTCAGCTGTCAAAGATTACAGAATGGTCACTACATCAAATGAATGAATTTCGTACAACTAAAATGAACAATAGTACTTTCTGTTAAAAACAACAACAACAAAAAGATAGACCTTTAAGAAAACAGAACAAAAACACCAAGCCAGACAAACGAAAAAAAAATGGAGTGAGCCATTTCTGACTCGTAATTGGACTTCTCAGGCTGATATTTTTTGGGTTTGGCATTTTCGTACTTTTTTGAGTCGGAAATACTGCTTCACTGAAAGATGTTCCAAGCTCTTGCCAAACCTTTCATTATTTTTGGTTTGATCATTTTGATTCCTTCTATTTCAGGTACTGGAAATTATTAGTAATGTAACCTTACATAAAAGATTCGCAAAAAAAAAAAATTAGAATTGATGCAAGAAACTAATTCCTGGAAGAGCATAAAATCTGCTACATTTTTGTTCCCTAGTTTTTTAAAGTTTTTTTAAACTGAAGGTTTTGGTAGTGTCAGAGCTTGGCAAAGTAAAAGAAAAAAAACAACAACCCCTCCACACACACACAAACAACGGACCTTCTTGTGAATAGCATGGTCATGGTCAAAGGTCATTGATATGGTTTGCATTCATAGGCTTATGTAAGAAGAATTTCAAAACAGATTGCACTAATTTGTGACATTTCTCATTTGACAATGTCACACCCCCTGCACAAGCAGATATGACACATGGCATCAAAAAAGTTTTTCGCATACCAAACACACTTCAAAGACATGCTTTGAAGGCACAGTACTGTTAAACCTCCACGAGACTTTTTAAAAACAGCAAATTTGACACACTGGAGTCAGCTAAGGCACCGATGCAGGTTTCACATCAAATGCTTTGTCAACTGTAGCAACACAAAACCAGCAATGTAAGCAACAACATTTTCTAACAAATGGACAAGTGTGCCAGACTAGTCACATATGTGCAGTTATCATTATGACAAACTGAATTTTCTTCAATCTCTTTCATTCTGTTTTTTTCTGTGAGATATGTATATTATGGCTGAAACAGAAGGCACTTCATCATCAAGCTCAGCGACTTTGCTAGAGACTGATATTTCTAAAAACATTTTTCGTAGGCCTAAGTGTTTTACGGCACTCGCAACTGCATAGCTTCATATGAGCAAGCGGGACACATTAAATATTTTCAGTAGGTAGGGGGGACCTTTAACGTGCGCAACTTGCACATGTGACCTCCGAGATTTTTTCGCCCTTGTTGGAGAAGGCTAGGGGTAGGACAAAACTTTTCCGTAACCACTCGGATTCGAACCCGGGACCTTTGAATGAAAGGCGAACATCTTAATCTCTAGGCCACGAGAGCCCCCCAGGCCCAAACGCAGCGCAAACTGCAATTTGGTCGACATTAAGTTTACAACTGAGAGAACTGAGCTGATCTCACAATCATGGCCGACCATCGTCTGCTGCAGCTTCACATTACGCGACTCGCGCCCTCTCCTATTAATAGTTACTCCAAGCTTGTACCCATTAATAGTTGCTGGCAGTTGCTGCTATCGGTTAACCACTGTAGTCATCGGGGATCACCGAACGCACAACCAAAACCCAACACTGCCATGTCTATCAGGTCTACGCAGGTAGACCGAATAGATATGACTGAAAATAAGGCTATAACGTGGAAGTACTTTGTTCTTCTTTACTTGAGTTTTTGAATGGACAAAATTGACCCAGAAATACTGTGTGTGTGAATTCTTAAAGTAAATATATTGAAATAGAGGGTTCAGTGGAGTTGAAACTTGAACAAACCCAATAAAACTTTGAAAATACACTATAACACGATCCCTAAAGCAATCTCGACCAAACAAAGACACGATGAAAGTTCATTTAGCGATCTATCATAATATATATTTATGTCACTGGAGGTGCTCATACTTTTAAACTGACAAAATAGTAGGGTAATGATTGAAAACCCAGCAGAACTATAATGGGCGCAACAAATAACTAGGTCATACTATATTCTTTTCCAATATTACATTTGCGTATTTTTCCCAGATCATTTTGTAAAGATATTTTTTTAAAGGAGTTTTTAAAAACATATGTGTTATGATGTAGTGGAATAAGGGGCTCGTCAATTTTTGGGCAGAGGGAGGTCTACACCTTGGAGAAATTTACCATGTCCCCTTGAATGTGCTAAATACATATGTACAATCAGCTGATCAGAGCAAGGGGCTGATAATTAACTGTAATTTCAAGAATTGCTCAAGAAAGATCATGAGGCTGAATGCAAGATGATGATTTAATGAAGGGCTGTTACATAAAACATGTGCTCTTCATTAGTCATGGAATACACAGATAAAAGGAAAAGGCACCAGTTCATAATTACATTTTATACCATACTTGGGGCTGTTTTAACATTGTACTTTTGGTAAAATAAATCCTTATATATAGGCCTAATTAAGCCAATTATATTTCACACGTGAAATAAAACAATTTGTATAAATTACTCTGCGCACTATATTCGCCAACTAGGCTAACCTTCTGTAAGCAAAGTATAGAATTGAATCATAGTATCAGTATTTCTAGACCATGCAATGTTATGGCAGCCCCCCACCCCCCCACCCTGTAAAAACTTTGTTGCAAAGCGCGCTCACCATAGGCGCCTAAATGAAATGCCAAACACCAGTCTCCCACTGTTCCTATAGTAGAGAGTAGGCCCAATTCTCTACGTTGCTCTTAATTTTGTTCCAAATTGAGCCAAATGGTGCACATCTCAGTGAACCAGGATTACATTAGAGTGCAGCAATGTATTTTAGTGCAACGCACAAGTCTATGCTAGCATACGACTCCTAGCCTTTGGTTTGCTTTAGTTTCAAAGTTTATAATCAAAGCCATCTCTATTCTCAAGAAAGCATGTCATATAAATGCAGTTTCTTAATTTTTCAACTTTTGAATCATATGTTTTCTGCTTGCCTTGCCTGTGCTTAGGTATATTTCGCTGAGGGAGACATACGGATACTCAGGATAGCACAATAAAGGAAAACAATCCAGACTTTTTTCATATCTTTACTCTGACTTCGACGGGCATAAAAAGTTTGTTTTCATGTAAGACTCTTGACTGGATCCTCTTTTCCAATTAATTGGCTGGTCACTAGAACTTTGTTGGTCTGGGATCTATTACGCTAGCTGATGTCAGTCTATGGAAAGAAAAATTTATTACACTCATTATGGTAGCAGACCATGATTCATCTTTCTTGTGAAATCGCCAGTTGTAATCACTCGCTGAAACTCATGAATACAATTTGGCAATTTCACTGTAGGATAAATTATGATCTACCACCACAATTCATGTAATAAATTATTAATACATCACTCAATGATGATCGGTCTCAGATACTAGAAGTGGGGTTATAAATTTGGCTGTAATTGACAGAGAAACAACTTCAATGGTTGACAGTGAACAAGCTAAAAATGACTATAATTTGAAGAGCCAGAAAAAAATCAGCCTTTCTACCCCACTTAATAATAATAAATAATAAATTGCATTTATATATAGCGCATTTCCACAAAGAAGTGCTTAATGCGCTGTACAATAATACAAAGAACATACGCAGCACACAGCTCCTATCGTAATCCTTTTTCTCTCTCACTCTTTCTCTCTCTCTCTCTCTCTCTCTCTCTCTCTCTCTCTCTCTCTCCAGTACATCTTTGAGTAAAGACAATCCCACAAAGCTTACCCAGACACCCTCGCACACATTGGTGAATTCGCACAGTCATAAATTCTTACAGAACAGAGAGGTAACAATTTGACAGGGCATTCGAAAGGCTGAAAAGCCTTTCTTTTCCTTTACTTCATGCACAAGAATTCGTGCTATGTCTGTATTGTCTTAAATCTATCTGTACTAAGCCTATTACAACTGCAAAATACTAACATATACAGGAATTGATAAGAGTTACTCCATTTGATGTCCATGATTTTCACAACAGTTTGGAGCTTTGATTTACATTCAAGGTCACAACACTAATAAATTTGATTGTGTGTGCGTGAGTGGGAGTAAATCTGAGTGCCCATTTTTATGAGTTCCCATTGGTGCAAAGGTTTAAAAAAAAAATTGAAAAGAGCCACTTGCCGTTCAAAGTATAATAAACACTTGCAATCTGTACAATCAAGAGGTGCAGTTTGACAATGTTTGTAATAAAAACTTATATTTCTCTGATGTCTTCCCATCATCCCATCTGTTTTGAAGTGGACAACTTTGATATCCACATACAGACATCATAGAGCATGAGCTGTTAGGTCAGTCATTTTTATCACAGTGGGGCATGGCGTAGATGATACTGGGTCAAATCCCCGATGGGGTGTTCTTGTACTAGAGTTGTTTGAAAATTTTCAAAGTTATTCGTCTATTTGGCTTGGTCTCATCAAAGACGGACACTTCGCAGGTCACACCTCTTAAATAGTCTTAGAGCATTGAAAGGGACAAATGCTGATAATCTCATCCAGGTTAAGGTGAATTAGAACCAAATGTGAGACACTGAGGTGGAATCAGGTGCTTGTTGAAATATAAGGAAGACGAAGAATACAAACTTTTTCTGTATGTCAGGCAATTTTTAAAATCATTTTTGTTTTGTTTTGAGCCCAACACATTTTATGTCCATTTAAAAATGTATTTAAAGCTTGATTTTACTGAAAAACATTGTTAAAAGGCACCAAAAAAATGTAAATTTGTAGTTTTCAAGGACATCACAACATTAGAAGTAACCGAACTTTGGTGGTTATTATTATTATCTTGCTAATACTACCTCTGCCATGAGGAGACCCTCACCTTCAATTGCAAATATTTTGACTTCTCTTCAAGATACCTGGGTATTTTAAAAAAAAATCAAAACAAAAGCAAATGAATAGGCTTCCAGATTGTACCAATAACTCCCTAGGCCTAAAAATTAATGAGCGCCTGATTCCACCATGTCATGACACAGATTCCTGTGGGATAAACTTGAAGCCTCTGCCAGGCACCTGTATCTACTAAAGCAGTTAACACTCAGGTAAGAAGAAAGTAATCACAAACAAGGAAAGCGAACTGTTAGTAATAAGTAATTACTAGATTCATAGTTTTCAAAACTTAGCAATCTTTTGCCTCACCTGCACCTCTGCATTGCCTCCCCATCGTTTCAAGCACGCATGGAACAAGGATTTGTTGCCAAGATTTCCAGAAGAACTCACTGCAAAATCTCCAGGCTGGATACCACCTTGATATCTGTAATCAAAACTTACAAATATCATAATAAAAAAAACCATACACATAATTCAGATTCTTAAAAATTATTTTCTTTATTTCTAAAGTTGATTTAAGCCTCAAGAGTAGACAACATGAAAACCTATGTTGATCAGGTTTGACCATTATAAGCCACACAACTGCTCAGATTCCAGTTAAGAGGAGTCAAGTTTAAATCCTATCTGGCCACAAACTTTGACTAAACATATTCCATGGGGACAGTCTTGGATCTATTTTACTTTGAGACATTTTCAGTTTTTCTGCAACTCTCTGCTTGTATCTAGCCAGCACTTTGAGAAGTAGGCCCTAATTGTAATTGATAATTGCCAAGGTCCTGTTCCCCTATCAACACATTTGAGATAATTTAAGATCATTTAAGAGGTGGGCTGCTTTGACTGAACTTGCCTGCAAGGGCCAGCCCTAGAAATGAGGTATACGACATCCAGCCAGACAGACACAGACTAAATACAAATCTTCCAACAAGGGAATTGAGCTCATGTTTACAGAAGGCAATGGCAAAGAGTCTAACTTATACCACAGATGCCATTTTTAGAAGCTTTATTAAAAAAATTAACATCCCACTATACTGAAGATAGTGCAAGGCTGTATGGTTCAAGGTTACCTGGTACCCGAGGGGGAAAAAAGTTTAAAATCCCTACACTAGTCAGGCGATTTTTCCAATTGTTCTTCATTTTGTGAAGAAAATGAAAATTCAACGGTATACTTTATAGAAAAATGTCATTGTTTCCATTACCAAAGAGTAACAAATTGCAGAAAAAAGAGAAAAGATACATCTATTCGTCCTGTTATGTATCAAATCTTGCCATGTGCTTTACATTTCAGCATATGGTCCTCCATGACAAGAGACTAGCCTGAATCTTGTGCAGTGTGTACAGGGAGACATAAACTGGTGATAGTCATGTACTGCACAAAACAGTAAAGAACAGTAACCGAAAACAAAACCACAAAGAAACTAAAAGATCATTCTCCTTCGCCAGACTTGGTGTCTTGGGAACATTAATACATGAATAGGCCTACTTAAAAAAAAATTGGATAGTAGCACAAAACAACTGAGGAATAATACAAGAAATGGAAAACAGTAAAAGCTCAAAAGTTAAGTAGGACAGATAAATGAATACACAATGAGCAAATGATGAGCATCAAGAGATGAAAACCTTGTCTAACACTTGCTAGCACTCATGGCTGTGTCCTATAATAGGTAAAGTGTGGTGTAAGCGCACCTTTGGACATGTAGAGTGAACGCACCTTTGGAATAGTCATTGTGACGTAGGCCTAACGGACACCTCACACAACTTCCGGTAAGGCGTAAGGAACTAACTGCCACTCGCTAGCTGGAGCTGAGAGAAGCAACATCGGCTAATCGAGATCTACTAGAACACCATTAGGTGGGGCTCCACCAACATCTCCAAGTTCTGGATCTATTTCAAGACTCAACAAGTAGGCCTAAGTCATAACATAACATGGTGTTTGAACGGCGCAGAGATACAGACAATACGAATCCATGTGCAAATATTGTAATCGGAATGTAGATTCTAGATCTAGATTTAGATCGAGACTCACGTGAAATTTAATACTAGTCTGTAGGCCAATGACTCTAGATCTAGTCACCTGAATCTTCAACCGATTGAAACTAGTCAACCAAGCCTCAATATGGAAGGGACAAAATCCAAATTTCATGCTCAAATACAGCCGCCTCAAAAATTAAACATTAGTGAAGAAAGTGCTTTGCAATCAAACTTGAGAAAGTTTTCGAGAGCATGGAAGAATTATGAGATTGCTTCAAACTTGATCAAAAAGTCAAAACAGTTTAGGTGTGCAGTCTTGTTGACAGTTATTATAGGGGAAGATGCGATGGACAAATTTGATGGATTTAAGTTTAGTTCCAAAGAGGAACAGGATGACATCAATACAGTACTAAAGAAGTTTGAGGAATTTTGCATGGGAACAACTCATGAGGCATTCAAGTCATACCGCTTTCATGTCAGAGTACAAGAACCGAATGAATCCATTGATGCCTATGTTGCGGAACTAAGAAAATTGGGAAGAGGGTGCAACTTTGAAGCATTTGAAGATCGCATGATTCGTGACAGAATTTTAGTTGGCTGCAAGACTGACCACGTGAGAGAAAAGTTGTTGGAAGACCCCAAATTAGATCTCAAGAAGGCAATAGACATAGCAAGACCCTATGAGGAAAGTCAAGTCAAGCTAAATGAAATGAAAGAATTAGCAGTCGCCAGAGTTATGCCGAAGAACAGAAAGAAATCGTTTCCAGAAGAAAAAAAAGAAGCAGTTTTCAAGTGATAAAAGGTCACAATATCCAAAGGATAGAAAACAACAGTCTTCCAAAAGGAAATGCACAAGGTGTGCATATGATTCACATAAAAATAACCAAGATTGTCCAGCATTAAGCCAGTTTTCTACTCATCTAGATCTCTCACAGATACAGAGACTAGGTAGGCACAGATTGAAAAGGAGGCTTTGGCTATGACATGGTGTGAAAAATTTTCAGAATTTTTAGTGGGCCTCCCGAAGTATGTAATTGAGACAGACCACAAACAAATACTGTCGCTGATGAAAGCAAAAGACTTGGATTTCCTTACTCCAAGAATACAGAGATTCAGGGTGAGGATGTTGAGATTTACTTACGACATGGAATATGTTGTTGGCAAGGACCTAGTCACGGCAGACTCCTTATCCAGGTCTCCTTTAAAAAACAATAAAGTAGAAGAGGAAACACTTGAAGTCAGTACAATTTTTCAGTCGATCCCCATGTCAGATGAAAGATTGGAGGAAGTTCGACGTGCACAGCACAGCGACAAGGAATGCTGAGAGGCAATTCATTTCACCCAAGGCCATTGGCCTCAAAGGACGCAGGGAATATTAAAATTATACTATGCAGAGCGTCATTGTTTGGCGGTGGAGCAAGGGATTCTCTTGCACGGATGCAGGTTGGTAATGCCATCATCACTGGGGCAAGACACGCTTCAGAGTATCCACCAGGGACAACAAGGTATAGTCAAGGGTAGGGCTGAGCACACACCTGTATTTGGTGGCCAGGAATGTAGAAGGATATTGAAACTCTGGTGAGCAACTGCCCTGAGTGTGAAAAAAACCCAGAGTATTGCCTCCTCAACCAGTAATACCAACTCCAAAACCAGATCACCCTTGGGAAAAAGTAGGAAGTAGCATGGAAAACATTATCTGCTGGTGGTGGATTATTATTCCAGATGGATTGAGATTTCACACCTTACTTCTTTTACCTCCAAGTGTGTTATCAACAGTTTCAAGGCTATCTTTGCAAGAAAGGGTATTCTCAGGACAGTACTTACTGACAATGGGACGCAATATACTTCAGCAGCGTTTTGTAACTTAGTTTTCTATTATGGATTCAAACATGTTACAAGTAGCCCTCATCAGCAGTCGGCTAATGGAGAAGCGGAGAGAGCAGTTCAAACAATTAAAAACATGCTCAAGAAAGAACAGGACTCTCTTCTGGCCCTTTTGAATTACAGAGCCACACCTTTGGCCCAGGGACAGAGTCCAGCTGAACTGCTGATGAACCGGAAACTCCGAGTACCATCCTTGCAGGAAGGACAGAACGATACAGAATTCCGGAGGAAAGATGCTATGATAAAAAGAAAGATCAAGGAGAATTTTGATAGCAGGCATAGAGTGAAAAATCTACCAGGGTTAAAACCAGGACAGTCGATTTGGCTTAAGACTCCAAGGCTGGAGGAAGATAAAGTTATTCCAAGATCTGTATACGTCCAAACTTCTTCTGGACATGTTACATGGAGGAACCGACAACAGGTTAGAATAAGATAGGATAAACATCTGTCTGTACCTCCTACTATACCCAGAGGTAGTAACAATTTACCAATGTTAGGACAACCTCAAACCGAGCCAGGGATGATTCAAATTGATCCTGCTAGTAGCCTTTCAAATGAGTCGGAGACAAAGCCAGTTGTCACTAGAAGTGGAAGACTGGTCAAGCAGAGAGAAATATTGGATTTATGGTGCTCTCTCTTCCTTGTGTATATATCAGACGCTGTATATATAGTTGTTTTTTTTGTTCCTGGTAGGAAAACTAATTTGTTATAGTTGTCGCCCTAAGAGTTGGTTTAGATATTTTGAGCTTTGGCTCTTTCAAGTTGTCAATTCCTCATTATAAAGAGGAGGAGATGTGGTGTAAGCGCACCTTTGGACATGTAGAGTGAACGCACCTTTGGAATAGTTATTGTGACATTGGCCTAATGGACACCTCACGTAACTTCCGACAAGGCACAAGAAACTAACTGCCACTCGCTAGCTGGAGCTGAGAGAAGCAACATCGGCTAATCGAGATCTACTAGAACACCATTAGGTGGGGCCCCACCAACATCTGTAAGTTTTGGATCTACTTCAAGACTCAAGACTCAACAAGTTAGTCATAACATAACATAAAGAAACTGATTCTGCAGACAGAAAACAAGTACCAAACACTGGTCAGGTTATGAGTGCAGAGAAAACAGCCATTTAGCAACTGAAGGTAAAAAGATGGTTCTGTGTATTCAAATGAAATATATGAAATAGTTCACAGAGTGGAAATATTACATAATGGTAGAAGCAAGGAAACCTTTGTTCGAGCTCATCCTGAACAGCTTGTCCACCTCGCTCAAGGACCAGCTTTGAAATTCTCCCCTTGCACAGGTCCAGGCTTTTGTCTACTGTTGTCACAATCACATCCGACTGAAAAGACAAAAATTGACATAATAAACTAAACTTCCTTTCAACTATCTTCAACGTCAAAGTGCTAAAGCACCTACCTACAGCAGCCAACACTCTTCAGCAAAAGACTCACACTACTTTAAATTGGCTCTTGGTCACACAATTCATTCCTGCTTACCATTTCAGTCTCCTGTGGGACGTATATCATTGCAGCCTTTAAGGCACATGTAAACATCACTTACATATTTCATCTCTACCAATAGTCAGACACTAATTTGCAGCTGGGTCAACGGAGAAAAATAGGGCTAGGTACTTTTCCTTATAACCTTGATGAGCTGGTGGTTCAAAGAAAGGAACAGTTATGTCCTGACTTTAGGGATGTGTATCCAAAGGCTTGCCAGCCCCTTGCTAAGGGTACACAATGTTAGAAGGCTCTCCCTTCAAATCTCATTGCCGCACCGAGCCCACCCCTTTTCATGACACATGTATTGCTGATGCCTGGTAAGCCGTTAGTGTTTTGGGATATAAGAGGGAGGCAGCATGCTTTTGATCTTCTCCCTTCCAGTCACTTCACTAGGCGGAAAAACCCATTCCACACGATGGTGGATGTTCTTTAAAATTTTACGCACCAAATAGGTCTCAGTGCCACAAAACAGGAGAGGGAGAAGCCATACAGAAGACTAACAGATATGTATTCTAATGGATAAAATGGAAAAATAAATATCGAACATGTTATATTTGACCTTGACAATTAAAATATATTTATCTCAAACTAAATGGGGGAAAACAGTTCCAAAAGTAGTTTTTTAATCAAAACTTTTAAAGTAAGAACTAGTATTTATCAAACTTCTATTGCTCTTCACGATAAATTTGCTGCTTTGCTTTAAAGACAATTTGAAAGAGTAGCTGAGGTAGTCAAAAATTATATTTTTCTCCTGAATATTACGGTTTTACACACCCATTTTAAATTGGCAGTGTAAAACGTAAGGGATGAACAGGTGTTCCCATATCTTGGCCAACAGAAGCTTGCAACTATTGTCTGCAATTGGGATATTCTTTTTGAGAGAAATGGGACCATCCTTTTCTTATGCAAAATCAAAATTATTAGATAGCAAAGTTTGTTTAAAAATGAACAATGGATTCCATGACCACGACAAAAAGAAAGATATTGAATGCAACGTCTGAAGAAAACATGGACAGGAAGATGTGATCTCTCTGTGGGTGGCATAAGTCTAAAAAATTCAAAGTCCACTGATGGGAGGAAAGGCAACAAAAAGTAGGAGAGTAGTATCAGAGAAAGGGTGTCTGCGTAGCCAAAGAGAAGGCTATAATAATCTTGATAACAACTTCATTGATTCGGCTTATACTGAGCTTTTAAGTGTAAGCCATAATAATCTTTTCTATCTGATCAGTTTAAGAATTTCCATTTTCCGGCACAAAAGTAAAGCAGTATTTATACCAAGAAAATTCTTAACTCATTATAAAATACTGCCTCAGCTCAATAGCAGAAGCACAGTCCACTCTACTTTGGTACAAGGATGCCTTGTCACAATATAAATGAGGGAGATAAATAATTCTCTGTTAGAAATTGGCTCTCATCAAGTTCCCAGAAAAGGAACAACTGACAGTATTCAAGATAATTGCAAGACAGTTTCACATCAGTTATGAGATATTGACATCTAGAGCTGGTCATCACATTTTTGGGTTGCAATAACTCAATTTTGGTGAGCAGAAGAAATGTTTTTCAAAATTGAAAATAGTGGAATATTTCCCCCCAAAAATTTGGCAAACAAAGTATTTACAGAGAACTTATTAAAGTTAAAAGTATTGTAAAGAAGAGAAATGCACCTTTATCTGAGCAAAAAGTCAGATAAAGATTATGCCATGGGTATATCATATTCATAGATTCACAGCACTGAACAAAATCAAACTCAAAGGACAACATGCACTAGAGCCCACCTTCTCATCTAAGATTTGTCCACTCTTGACGGCAACATCAATATGGCCAAACTTCACAATCCCACTTGGGTATGACTGATGATCAACTCCTGCTGCTCCCCTAGAAGCACCACTTGAGTCTAGGGAACATACATGATGTGTTCTTCTAAGATGATGAAGACATGACTACATTCAGGTATCGAGTTAATAGAAGTAGTGCTTGTATTGTGGGTAGATCAAAACATGATTTGTTCAATAACATCTTTTGTTTTTATTGGTAAAAAATCTAAGTAGATGTTAATGTCGGGTCTCAGGACCCTTTTAACTCTTTCCTGACGTATTGCCGATATATCGGCAATGATGGGCCGCCTCAGTTTTGTTTTGCTTTAACATGGTCCATCATTAATAAGGACTTATTATTGCTACTAGAAAACTTGGAACGGATTTAGGAAACGATAATATATTTTTCTTTAAAATTAGGGAACGAAAATGTCTAGTTTCTCTTTGTCAAAGAGTCAGTTTGACAATAAACGAGGGAATTCATTCCTGCAGTTTTGCATCATCTGAACGATGTCACTGGACTCATTACAAATATAGCTCAAACAAAAATTGGAATATTGCTTTCAAGTAAAAAGCAGTGCAGTCAGAAATGTGTGAACTATGCTCCTGGCTGAGTGAGAATAGATAGCTATGCTGATTTGTTTTCACATGTTTGGTGAGTGTATTTACCCCCCCCCCCCATCAGAATTTACTTTTTTCATCACCATCACCCATTTTAATCATTGTTATGCACGCTTGTGTTCAAATTTTATCTTTGTGTTATGTCTGAATATATTCCTAATTCAATTTCCTTCAATTTGATATATTACATGTTACCTTTTGAGTGATGGCTATGCTTATATGAAGTTATTTTGTACATCACCTGAATAGCCAAATTGAGTAAAATAATTTTTTACGTATAGACCCGCCAAAAACTAAGTCAAGAAAGAGTTAAATGATATAAGCAAAAAAAATTATCCTGCACAAAAATTTCACTTCAATATTAAGAGCATTTTGCAACCCTGTTCTCAGTTGGCAAAAATTGTTGGAGATGTTTCACATCTCTGTCGACTCTTGAGGGTAGGCTGCATTGACCATTCAAGGAATATACTGCCATCAAAGGATCGAACACATGTCCTTTGAGCGCAACGTAAAAAAGAATGTAATCATTAAAAAGCAGGCACAGGTTTCATTCTCAACAACTTCCCATTCATTACTTAATTTGGTACTACAAAAGTAAAATGGAATGAAATTTTTATTAAGAGTGATTTCGAATCAGTTTGAACGAAGCACGGCGACGAATACACTTTATTATTTTTTTTCCAGGACAATGAATCAGTAAAGGAATTAAAAACATAAAAGCTATATATAGGCCTATATAACTACAGGAACAAAAACGAACAATAGGTCAAACTTTTTAACCCAGATGGATTTAATCAAAGGTCAGAATTAAAGTATAAGAACCAAACAAAAAATCAAATAGATGGAGAAAAAAAGTGTACTTAAAAATGCTGGGTCAAATAACTTTGAAAGTCTTTGCACTTAACGCTGAATCCAAATTGTTTAAGGGAGGACATAAAAGACCTCAATGATTATAACACAAACTGAACAAATTGAACATGGAATGACCAAGAAAAGTTGAAAAAAATCTTCAAACTAATCGAACAGGACTAAAGTTACAAACTTTTCTACACTGATTATTAAAAAAAATGCAGGAACAATGTGATTAGTAGTACATGTTTATGGTCAACTTTAAAAAAAGGAATTACACGTTGCAGATAACGCAGGTTACATGAACACTAGTAATCACCTGTCCCGTCTTTTGGTACACCTGCTATGGTAGATATATCAGTTTTCAGAATGACTTTGCAGCGTTTCAACAAAATATCAATGATGCTCCCTCTCTGGTCACATACATAAAGGTGTTCTACACCCTCCACCTTCTGGAAGGATCGGAATAAGCAGCTCCCAAAAATTGTGGCATTAAAGTTGAAGAATCCTGTTTAAAAAAAACAATTCATGATTCAAGACAAACACAATGAAATAGTTTTAGATAAAGGACAATCCTTCACATAATTTCAATGGGCTCCTAATAATTATGACATTTTCTTCTTCACTTTCGGAAACAGATAAAAATCAAAAGACATGTAACCTGATAATCACTCTAGAATGCTAATCAACTGTTGCTAATACCAGACAACCTATAAAACAAAGAGTGAATTAACATGTAATGAACTCACATCTAAATGTGCTCTACTGCTGCAGAAGTTCATAAAAATATGAATGCTTACACAGCGGCATTTCATAGCTTGGTGTTTTTCCACATCTTTAACCCATGATGATGAAAAGATATACCGTGTATTCTCACTGTTAGATGGATTAAGAAAATGAGTGCAAGGAAGTGCACACACAGACTTGGAGGTGTATGAAAATGAGTAGAGGAAGGAAGAGAGAGGGAGTTTTCTAATTTAGAAAAAGAAAGACAAGGAGGTAGGTTTTCTGCTACACCTAGAGTCACACTGCCTTACAGTAAATCATACATGGTCTGACAGCAGAATTTAAACAAATAAATATCCATAGTTAAAAAAAAATATGTTTAAACCCAATTAAAAAACAGGAGAAATCTGATTTTATCAGAGTACTTGGCAAGTCTACAGAAGTCACTGTGAACACTGAAAACTTTTCAACTTAACTGAAGAAACAAGACAACTGGGCAGCAAAAATTATAATGTATTAGGACAAACCGTATATTACTTGATCAAAAGAAGTTTTGGTCTGCTTTCAGTTAACTTGTTTTAAACATAAAAAAGCCCTGACAAAACTAATAAATTTGGGGGTTTTTTTTACCGTACGGTTGTTCAGGCAAACTTAGTAGTGGTCAGTTTGACCACTCTGACACTGCCTGGCTGGTAATTATGCCCACTCCACTGGCAGATCTGCTCCACATGGTAGATCTAAATCCTACAAACTGACTCAGATTTTAAAATAAAGTATCCTCCATATCCATTCCATTAACCAATGAGTTCAAAATATCAAATAAAAGTGTAGAATCTCCTCTATAACTTGCAGTTCGAGCCGTGCTTCTATTTTTTCCATTATTTTTGGTATACTCTTAAAATATCTCTATAAGTAAGTAGTGCATGACTGGCATTCTTTAATGTAAAAGCTTACGAAAACTACAGTAGTCTCCACCTACGACACCATCTCTTATGATCCCGCTTCACTTAAGATCCCGATAATTTAAAAAGTCAGAATTTTTACAGCACAATAGTCATCCCCAAGATCCCGTTATGAAGAGCTATACTCCACTGAGATCCCACATTCCAGATCATAATTTTCTGAAGTGAAACCTGGGATGAGCAGCTGATCAACAAAGTAGCAAAAATTTACAATCATTGTATTGGCCATTGTGTAAAAGATCTTCCGCTCTTGTGAATGTGATTACATCTCAGTTGTAAATCTCAATGAGTGGGTACAATGTTTGCGGGAGACTTGCTTACACTGGGGTTTTATCGCATCAAAGTGCAACACATTGGCTTTCCACAAACATCACATTCACATTTGAACTTACCGCATAAACTTACATCACACATTGGGTAGTGAAAATGGTGAAATAGTATAGGTTTATCAACACTTTTAGATTATTTAAGAGGCGGAACCTCCGAGTTAAACGTTTATCTCCAAAAAGACAGGCCAAAAGGGAAACTTGAGTAAAGTGCCTTTCCCAATAAGACAACATCGGACCAAGCTGGGGCTCGAAACCCTAATCCCGCAATCTCACGAACACCGGTCCGGTAGCCTAACTAGGCTACTGACGCCACCACCAGTGGCGGCTCGTGGTTTATAGAACTGACCGGCCGTCATTCACATAGATTTTTCTCCCTCTCCCCCCACTCCCTTCCTTCACAACACACACACACATACTCTCTCTCTCTCCTCGTTTTATACCCCTACTTTCTCCATCCCCACACCCCTCCCCAACTCACACATACCACTGTAAACATTATACTGAGATTAATATAGAAACTGACTCTGATCGGCAAAGAAAAAGAAACACTTCTATGCTAGAAAACAAACTGAAAGTGAGAAGCAATAAACTGCTGGTCCTGGCCTCCAGTAGGCTACTTTAACTAAAGACTCTTTCTTTCTACACCCCTACACAAAATATCGACGCGCACTCGACCCGTATATAATATAGTAAGAACTGTCCAGTATGATGACAAAAAGTCAATTGATACTGTACCAATGATGCAGTCCCATGCAGATCAAATCTGCAATCAGATACTATACAAAGTTGGACAAAGTTAGAACACAACAGTTTCCGAACTTTATATAATCAAACGTTCTTCATCGCACTTCTCAGTTCTCAGAACACTGTTGTAACAAAGTGGGGAAGTGTGTCAAATGCTAATTATAGGACTTGGTGTCTAGCTGGGGTGACGGTGGAAAAGGGGAGGGAAAGGAGGGGGTAGGCCTACTGTTTTCGGCCAAGACTCTGACAGCTGAGTGCCTATCACTCCTCGTTATAATTCTTCCTATATCTTAACTAGACGATTCCTCTTTTCACTGGCAAGACTCATATCGGCCAGGTATGTTATTAGTGGGAAGAAAGCGATGAATAAATACCATGTGATGTCAAGGGACATGACTCTTATCTTTACTGTGGGAACTAGATAATTAGGGGAGTAGCACGCCCTTGGATGACGTCAAGAGCTTGGCGCGAAAAATAGAGATCGTCGGAGAGACTCATGGAGATAGTCAGTCGAACTCAGGACCACGACGAGACAACACCTATCTTGGACGGGGGCCCCCTGACAGACCCGACGCACCGGACCACCAGGTAACTTTACAATACCAAACAGGAACTATAAGTGGCTAAAAATTCAATAAAAACAATAAAAGATTAGTGCCAAGCAGACAATAAATGTTCTGATAATAGACAAAGGCTGAATGATAAATATATGTATAGCTGATAAAATAATACATGTGTCTGTGCTGCTCAAGACAGTCTCATTCTTAACTTTGTAAGCAAAACAGAGGCCAATTTGGCAATTAAGGGATACTCTATTCGCTCTGAGGGCAGTCGATGGATTTGCCCAGCAGGCTAACACCATCGCTGAGCACGCCATGTTTGGCTTGGCCTTGTATGAGGTTCCGCGACGTGACGGCGTGACGAGTGACGATTTAAAGTCACGAGCCGGCGCAATAAACAAAGGTGAAAGAATGAGGCTCTGTCGTGACAAAACAGCAGTGAATCCCACATGTCTATTTGAGAGCCTTCAAATCAGCAAGGTGCTTTTTGAATGTTGATACATGTTTGTTTGGATTTACTTAAAAGAGAATGAAAATCATCATCAGCTATAAATCTCTTGTCAACAGTCCAGCTGACAAAAATTTGACCAGTTAACAAACCGCCCCTGGCCACCACATAGGGCCTACAACAAAGCTACATCAGATGGGATCACATTGAACTGTGAACTCATCCCTGCTTTTGTTTCTCTTACTAAGGAACTCATCTTTCAGCTCTTCACCTGGATTTAGTCGATAGATTCAGTCTATAGCCATTCTAGAAGTTTTATTGTGACTGTGAGTGACTTTTAAAATTGGATTCTACATTTTTTAGAGAAGGCATTATCGTTGCCAGGCTCACTGTGTGACAAAATTTTTTCATATTAATTTTCTAAACATATAATTATATAAATGTGAGTCATCATAGTGAAATCAGGTGCTTGTTAAAATAATAAAATCCAAGAAATCAGCATTTTTCCGCCTGTATTCCAATTTTTACAAAATTTTTGGTCTTTTTGCTCAACACTTTTCATCTGTCCCCGTCGGATTATGCGATTGTGCGGCCGCGTTTTTTGGCATAATTCTGGATACCCCGCGTTTTTTCACGTTTTTTAATAATAAAAAAAAAATAATTTAACGCCTTGCCATGTGACTAAAGGGAAGTAATCACAGTCTCATTTAAATGACAAGTTGGTTATTTCCCTTGATATGGATTTTTGTTCCTTGAGCATTTCCATTTTTTCAATCCTCCAAAAGTTTTTCTCAGGTCTGCTGATGTTTAATGTTTGCCAGGTGTCCCTGGTTTTAGTTTTAGTGATGTGCCAACATCAGAGGTCCAGGTGATTAAAAAAAACAAACAAACCATTTTTCTTCCCTCTATACAGCTGAAAGTTACAGAAATTATATTTTATGGTTGTTTTTTCTGACTGATGTGTATCTTTCCAAATACACAAAAAACCACTGAGTGATACTGATAGGTTCTGTCTTCAGTTCTTCTGCTCATAGATCTAAAACATGAAAAGGCGACCTCCCCCCCCCCCCCCTCTCCTTCAATTGCAAATACCTTGACTTCTATTCAAGATAACTGGATATTATTTTCATTGAAAGCAAGAGAAATAAACGGGTTTACAGATTATACCATTAACTCCATACGCCCAAAAATTGAAGGGCACCCCACGGCGTCACTTTTCGCCCGATTCTGTTACTTTTAGTTCGCGTGACTCAGCAGCCCGCCGGAGCTCCCCGGCTCGGGGTCACGGGGTTAATGAGACCTGAAGCGACTTTGCCGCTGTCGGTCAGGAAGTTCGCATTTTTTACTATGTTTAAAACAATATAACTTCTTCCCCATCCCATATAGCAAACCATTACGCAGATGTACTAAAAGCTCAAAGTCAAAGTCTTGAGATTTATTCTGTGTTAGAATGGTTAGTTTCTGTGACTTAGTTTTTGTTCTAGACAAGTGTTTGTAGAGTACCCAATTTGTCCTATTTTAGTTACAAACTTATGAATAAATGATTGTTAATTTTAAAAAAGGCTCGACAGATCTCTCCAAAATCTGTGTTAAACTGACTACGAATATCATGTCTTTTACCATGAGAAATCTTAAATCTGCGCGATTAGTAATAGTCAAGTTATAAGAGAAGAAAGATGCACATCTGCATTTTTAAACTAAAGACGATCAGCGTTAGCTCTTATTTTACTATTAAACAAAAGAAAGTTACTCTGCGTTTGTTCATGAATCATGCTGTGTCTGTGGCAGCCTGCATACAACTAAAAAGATATAATATAAGCGATTTAAAAAACCACAAACCGTGTAAATGTATGGGTAGAGATAAACTTCTTGTATGGAATAAAAATAATGACAGCTAAAACATTCATTCTTAGTTTTTGTGTAGGAAATATGCGCGGACACAATTATGAATGTAAAGAAATCAGTCACATTGTCAGTTATAGCAAATGGTCATAGAAAAGAAAAAAAAGCTGGAAAAGTCTGGTGCTGATTCAGTGTCCCTGGAAAGCTAGAAATTATTCTTATAACCCATTTACGAGAAGTCATCCCTATTATTGAGTCAACTTACAAAACCTAGACTTAGCGTTTTAAGGAAAGTAAGGAATTTCTGGAGTGTAACAGATACTGTTCGTGTATTAGATCTACGTTGAAAATGTATTCTAGCACTAAAATCGATTAGTACTTTTCATAGAAAAACTTCATGGTAACTTTTATAAACTTTCGAGAAAATATGCGAATATTTACGATTATATTAGACATATAAAGTTGTATTTGGAGGGATTACTTCATAGCCAATTGTGTGCCCGATGGATAAAATTGTAAAATTACAGCCTTCTATTATAAGCGCAGATACCATCTTTTGTGAGTATCTGCACAAATGTTATGTCGTTCATGTTCCAAAAGTTCGACAGATTTTGACGATGCCTTTTTTTTATATTGATTTTTTTTTCATTCACGCTAGTCCAAAAAAAATTACAATTTAGCATTGCCGACTCCAGCGCGTCTAACGAAATAACCAGACAAGTTACAACGTCCGTTCTTTTTTGAGTCTCAAGAGCAGAAATGCGTGCTTTGGATGCACTAAATGAGAATTACCATAAATACAAGGATACACCTTAAATTGTATGTTGAAAAGTACCAAAAATTATGTCGGCCCAGACAGAGCGGCGACAGGGAGCTGACCCCCGTGACCCCGACATGATAAGGCGCCCGGCGGGGAACCCCCCGCGGCAACTAAAATTCCACTGCCGGTGCGCTATGACCCGATTCCACCGCATTGTAGCACATATAAACATAATATTTTGTTCTCCACAAACACCTGTCACGCAAGTTTAAAATATGAAATCTCTTCGAATGTAATGTGCACTGAGCATTTTTTAGAAAATGGAAATACACAGCATAAATGCTGCTTATTATTATTCTATTTATAAAATTTTTAAACATTGCAAATATGAGATTTCAAGAATACAACCAGCTTCACTGAGGTGAATCAAAGGGTATAGGATGTGTGTTTTTTCTTTAAATGCCTTCCCCTAAATTCCACTATTGACATCATAAGAGTCAAAGAGGAGCATTTACACAAATTAACAGCAGAATTTTACCATCCACTCCAACTGCAGGAACTGCAATGGACTTGCTCCCAGCATCCACAGCTTTTTTCAGGCACTGTAGCACAGCCTGCTCAAGTAGCTCAGCTTCGTTCCCAGAACCATAATTGACAGGGCAGATGAAATGAAAGATGTTTGAGAAACTGCTTAGTTCACCACCTGAAGTGCGAATTACTGTTCCAACAGTTGAACCAGACCGTGCCTCTCTCAGCTCCCTTGCAATGGCCTGGCCTCCTGCAAAAATAGAGAGAGAGGGGACAATTTTTTAAAACCCACCACAAAAAATAGAATAATACATGTGTTTTCTGAAACCTATGGCACTGTTTTCACAGCATAGGAAAAGTATGCCTGTAAACATGGTTGCTCTGGCTAAATAGGTCAGAAGGTCCAAAGTTCAGTTTGAATTTCATTTTTTTTTCTAAAGCACTCAGCCTAGAAAGAAGACCTGCTTCCAACTCCTCACCCTCTCTCTTTTCCCAGACATAACTACAGCAGGTAGCACAAGGCCTCAGAGAATATCAATCTTTGTCAGACAACCCCCCCCCCCCCCTTTTCACAGAATTGTAAGGTGGATGATTTTATTCTGAATAATACATTTTGGAGAAATTAAAGATTAAGGTAAAAATAATAAGGCAAACATAGAGAAACAATTTCAAACCATTTGCAAGAACTGCTTTTCCCAAGGAAAATCTTGTATCATATGATAATCCGTTTTTAGCATCTAGGGGGTTGACCAATGCATCAATCTGCTGAATTCCCAGAATGTTGCCTTGGGCAAAAGTAATCTTGGTCCTCCCCACTTGACACATTGCTACCTCACTGGGCGGAACCACTGGCTCCACAGAACCCTCTTGCCTGGCAGTCCCTGCAGCGGGCTTTTCACTGACTTTGACTACGCAGGAATTCCGGCTCCCAACTGACTCAAGAATATGCCTTCCTTCATCATTAGAGAGGAACTCTTTGATGCCAAAGTGCTTGATAGTTGTTTCTTTCACCTTGATCTTGTCCCTGGGGAAAAAATATCCAAAAATAATAAATGCATTTTTTTTTCTTCACTGAAGAAGAGTGATGATGTTGCATGGCATAGATACTGACACTTGGAGTTAACCTACACCCTGACCTGTTAGAACAACTCATGCACACAATTTTGGGAGTCTTGTGCCAATGAAAATGTCTCAGTGTGTTAGTATATGACACTATACTTGAAGGAAGTAACAGGTTTTGGATAAGAAAAAGATTCATTTGAGAACAGCAGTCTCGGTGGGTAGAAAGTCGTACGAGGTTTCATGAATGAGCAAGCTGCGAACATCCACACAGGGAAAAGAAGCTTTTAAATACTTAAAATGTGGCAAACTTTTCTCTGCCACAGTTGGTCCAATTGGCCATAGCAAAAGCCACAAGTATTCTTAACTTTTATTTTTTCCTGTTTCGTTTAAGATGGTAGCTGAGGGCTCACTTAGTTATTTGTTGACCAACTTTCACCACATTTCACACATATATAACAAGCATAGTGTGGATACTTCAAATACGCAATAAAATTTTTGGAAAAAAGTTTCATTGCCAAGGGGAGGGTGGCCGTATTGGATTTTGTTGATATGTCTTATACAGTTAATATCTCACCTATTTTAAATGAATATAGGTTATTTTGCATGATTGTTAATAAACAATAGCTCTACAAAATTTGTTTAATTTTATTCCTAAACAGATTAGAAACTTTTAAATGAATTTTTTTCTTCAAGTGACATTCAAGGCTACAAAAAATCAGTGGAAGTTTACACTCCCGACACCACCAACAAAAGTCTACTCCATATATTGTAAATTCAATACACAATTTTATAGTGTTTCATCTTCTCTTCTTTTAGTGAAAATTTCATCAAGATTGAATTAAAAATGGCAGAGTAATCTAAAAAAGTATATAATAGAAAAAAGTGTTTTTTTTAGAAAACAGACGAAAAGCAAAATAAAAGGGTCTTTAGGAGGACATGGTGGTACTAATTAAATGCTTGATATGTGACAAAATAAGGGTTTAGGGGGTTCTTATGCCATGACATAGTTATAAAGGTGTAGTGATCTAGCATAACACTGACAGTTCATTCACCGTTAGGGTTGGTGATTTTTTGGATTTTTGAAATACAAATTTAAAAAACCGACTTTTAAAATTTTAAATAAGATTTTTATAAATTTAAATCCCATTTTTTTAATTTTAAAAAATGTTGACACAGTTTGGAATCTTTAGTAGCTAAAAGTATGTTCTTTTAGTGCAAAATGCATTGTCTTTATTTATTTTAACTAAATATCAATTTAAGCAACTGCAAAAGAAAGCCTTGCCTGCTATATCAGTGAATTATTCATGGCTACAGAGAAAAAAATTAAGAAAATGTCAGTCTCAAAGGAAGGGGGGGGGGGGTAATTATGCATAGATAAACTTGTATTTTATAACAGTGTGTGTGTGTGTGTGTGTTTGTGTGTGTGTGTATGTGTGCGTGTGTGTGTGTGGGTGTGCATGCTTGTGTTTGTCTAAACAGAAAAAGTTAATTTCAATTATGAAAAAACCCAGTAAATTGAATACTGTATTATTGTGTTTCTTTTCAAAACCTTCAACCCCAAACAGCGTAAAGGGTAATTTCAACATGATCTAAATTGTTGGTTATTGTAATACTATTAATATTGTATGAAAGCGATTTACTTAAAAAATTCCTTCAGTTGCCATTTTGTTCCTTGGAATAATATCTGAATTATTATTTTTGTTACATGTTTTGAGATGTATTTGTTAGTGTTTTTATCCTCAGTCACAGTTGATTTGATCTGACATTCAATAAATTATTAAGTTTACAGTTAATAAATCTAGACATTTCCTTAGTCCGTGTGTGGGTGTGTGTGTGCGTGTATGTGTGTGTGTGTGTACGCGCGCTTGTGTTTGTCTTTAAAAAAATGCTTATTTCAATTATGAAAAAAGGTAAATTGAATACATACTATTTTACAGTGACAGGAGGGAAAAGCAGACTTTCAAGCATGATTATAATAGTCTACTAAACCCTATATTTGTTTTATAAAACAAAGGAAAGGCATTCTGAATGTTTAAATACGTAAAAACTGAATAAAAATATATTTAAAAAAAAAAGTGATTTAAATCACTGACTTTTATTTTAAAAATCAAGTTGATTAAAATTTTAAAAAAATCAACTGATTTAAATCAACCCAACCCTGTTCACCATAGAGGACTGATCTTGTAGCTTATTAATATATAATGTGGGATCATTGATCAATCAAACATTGATTGCCATCACGCATAAATATATATTATTATGGATCGGGTTGACTGAAAGTTGTGGTGGTTGTGTTACATGGATGGTACCCAGAATACACTTTACATCATATGCGTGTGAGTATGTGTGTGTGGGTCTGTGTGTGTGTGTGTGAGAGACAGAGAGAGAGAGAGACAGAGAGAGAGACAAAGAGAGAGAGAGAGAGAGAGAGAGAGAGAGAGAGAGAGAGAGAGAGAGAGAACAGACAGACCGACACAGACAGACAGACAGACAGACTGAGACAGACAGACAGACAAAAACAGAGTGAGTGTTGGTGGAGAAGTAAATAGCTTCTCAGAAAAGCATTATGGTCACAAAATCAGCTTAACAATTAAGCAGGTCATATGAGTCATAGACAGCTAAATTTAGAATTTTTTGACACTTTAGTGAAATCCAAAATATTTACCAAACTTTTCATTGTAGAGAGGTTTTACAGGATGCACATTTCATAGTGATTTTATATGTACCAACTTTTTCTCATTTTATTTCAATTCTATTACAGCAGCCAGAAAAAGCTTCATAAATTCTCACCTGATTTTTGATAAGAGTTTCTTTCCTTCTTTCACACCTGGGACAAATCCATTGAGGGTGATTTTGTCCGTGTTTCGGCACATTTGTGAGCCTGACTTGCTCAGTGCATTTTCTAAAGTTTTCAGATCCGTTTGTAAGAAATGGTCCATGAAAGTCTGGCAACTTTCAGAAAAACTAATTTCAAAAGACTTTAACTCATTCTCCTTCAGGAATTTATCAATTTCAGCCTTCAATGCAGGCTGGTCCTCTTGAAATGCTGTGATACACATAAAGGACTCGGTTGGATCCACCAATATGTCCACACCCAAAAACTGATTATCCCTGTCTGTGAGATTTTGCAATTTTAACAGGAAATCCTTACCATGCTCAGTTTCCCACAAGCATTTCTCATTTGAACCAATAGCTCTCTTCACCACAGGGAGGAATGTCTTGAGTTTATTGGAAACCTCAGCACTCTTCATGACGTTGTCATTCTTGTAAGTTACTGCCACTCCTGATGTGGTGTCTTCTATGATAGCTTCAATGCCTTTCTCACGTAGAATATGATTCATCCTGGTTTTTAAAAAAGGAGACTGTAACAGTTTAGTTTGAGAAGTTTCTAGGTTTGGGACCAAAGACTTGTACCGAGCAGTTTCTTCTAAAATCGACATCTGTACATCTTTTCTTTCATCTTCCTCTCCTCCGGAGATTAAAACAGAACTTCTTGTAGTATCCATTTCCAAGAGAACATCATGATGCGTCTCTTTAAGAATCTTCATGGAATTTGAACGTTCCAAAAGGACTAGGTTTGCTTTTCCCCCCACAGGGACAGCAATAACTTCCTGTTGGGGAGCATCAGAAGCTGCTTCTTCAGGATTACTTGCATCTGCCCTTATAGCATCAGGATCTTCCAAAGGAAGCTGACTATATTTCCATGCCTTTGAACTAAGACAAGGAAAGTACTCAGTTATTGTCAATTTTGAATCTTCCAGCTGATGTTCTCTCGACTTAACTGACAGAAGAGCTGAAATATATAAAATATGTTTTCTTTGTAAAACAATTTATCAAAACATTGTTGCTTAATTTCTTTTTGTCACTAGAACATAAGAACAAATAGTAATACATTTTAATAGTAATTATCAAAAATACTATACAAAAAAAATTAAGTTCACAATGGTTGTGAATCCATCCAGTCGAATAAAACATTCAACTGAACCAGTATAATCAAAGAGTTTTTTTACTGGTACTTTTAACTTTACAAGTCAAACCGGTACCTTATGGAATTTTTATTGAACTAAATTTCAGTTTCACTATAAAGATTTTTGTTCTCTTTGACCATGAATAAACATATTATTATCGTCGGCTGAGAATTTTAACCATCTAACTCTGATTTCGTAAATTTTTCAGGAGAGACAAAAAACTGAATTCAATGGCATTTGTGGGGATTTACTGCCTTTAAATGCACTAGACTAAAATAAATGACTTTACTTTTAAGTATATATAAATATCAAAATTGCCGAAATTTTGATATTTTAAGTCCTAAACCAGAGTTATACGGATAGACCACCCAGTTTTGGATTTCTAAATGTCCAAGTGCCGAAGAACGAAATGTTCGTTTAGAATTCTCCAACCTGGTAGGGACGTCGTGCGCTTCACTACATCTAACTCGGTCATTATATACCACGGAAGGAAATTGTACGGTTACAATTCTCACAGTCGAGTGATGATGGCTTGCTCTCTGCGTTGTAGATCTAGTTGTTTTGTTAATGTTACCAAAAAACTCGAAATGATTAGATATGCAGTCAATCCAATAGTAAGCCGACTAAAAAATATCTTATTCGTTTTACATAGTACTAATGTACCGGTGCTTCTATCTAAAATCTAACGATAATACTTTTAGAACACAAACTTAACGTCACACTTTTTTTCACATAATATTAGTAAGGCAATACAGCTACAATTCGATCCACAATTCTGAAAGAAATTGTGAGAAGGGTTGGTTACTTGTCTAGCTACAAGAGAGAGAGAGAGAGAGAGAGAGAGAGAGAGAGAGAGAGAGAGAGAGAGAGAGAGAGAGAGAGAGAGAAAGAGAGAGAGAGAGAGAGAGAGAGAGAGAGAGAGAGAGAGAGAGAGAGAGAGAGAGAGAGAGAGAGAGAGAGAGAGACAGACAGACAGACAGGCAGACAGACAGACAGAGAGACAGAGAGATAGAGACAGAGAGATAGAGACAGAGAGCAAGGTGGGGGGGGGGAGGGAGAGAGAAAGAGAGAGAGTGAGAAAGAGAGAGAGGGGGGGGGCAGAGAAGGGAGAGAGAAAAACAGATAAAGTAGAGTGAAGAAAGACAAGAGAGACCTTCAATAATGTAAAAAGAAAGCAAGAACAAACGTCTTGGTCTATCTATAGACATTATATTGGAAATTTTATTTGAGATTAAGTTAAAAAAAAAAATCCAGAAAAACGTAGCCAGAAGTGCGACAGAAAACTACATACCGTCTACCAGTACAAGAAATTAAAATACTTCTTACTAAAAACATGATTTAACTCAGTTGGAAGACTCCAGAAGAAAAATATGACTTATATATAAAGCTCAACTAAACCTCATACAAAATATCCCAACCCAATTTATGGCACAAATCCCAAATTTCTCATAAAAAGTCAGTAAGATGAGGTGTGCCATAGCAGCATCCAGTGTCAACAACCATAAATTCATCTATTGTCCAAGCATCATTAAAAGGCTTTGGAACGCACTACCCACTAAAGCTAAAGCTCTGGCTAGCTAAATATAAAAATAAAATACATAAACCAAAGCAGAATGCACTGCATATTAAATTAGATTCAGTAGAAATTTTTAACATACGCACTGGTGACGTACTAAATTCTAAGTGTTTCTGCTTACTGGAAGAAGATGAAGTATTTATAAAAATAGTCTCAATCCAGCATTTACAAAAAAATAAAGTATTCTTTGCAAGTCACATTGTAAAATTTTGCATTTAAGTCATAAGAACATCGTGATACATCAAACTGATAATTTGGTGGCAAAGGTCAAGATGTGAATACATGCAGTTTCACTTGTGACACAAAACTGTGGCGGTGGACAAACAATTTGGCCTAGTGGGGTTGTTGTTGTTGTTGTTTTCAAATCCCTTTAGCTGCGAGCATTTTGCTCTTAGCAGAGCAATGCCTCTCTCAAATAACCACATGTCCTTGTCATCTGGTCAGCGCCAGAGTAGAGCAGGCTTTGTAAGTGTGTAGGTGTGTGAAGGAGCCTGCGTCGAAGAACTGCCAATTTTGGGCAGTGAAGGAGAAGATGTTCAACGGTCTCCTCGTGGTAGTCACAGTGTCTGCAATGGGGTTCCCACATGGGGTTAATTCTATTTATGTGCTTGTTGGTGTGTAAGTGTCCTGTGCGCGCTCTGAAGATCAAAGTCTGATCAGCTCTACATAAGAGATTCGATGGGTCTTTGGGGTTGGGTTTGTCCATGTACCCGAAGAGAGATCTTCCTGTTTCTGCGTTGGCCCATCTGTTTAGCCACTCGTCTCTGCTTTTGGCTAGGATGATCCCTCTGCAGGCCTGTAAAGAGGCGACTGTGTCTGTCTGGGGCAGGCTTGCTCCAGTCTTCGATAGCTGGTCTGCAGTCCCATTCCCTGGTACTCCAGAATGGCCAGGCACCCACTGCAGTGTGACCCGGACGCCATAGGTAGTGCCCATCTGTTTTACAAGGCTGAGAATGTTCCTGTCACCTCTGTAGTCTCCTCCTCCCTCGACGTCTTGGAGTACTGACATTGAGTCAGAGAAGACAACAACATCCCCCGGTGTTACTGCGCCTTCAAAAAAGTCTTGGGTGATCTGCTCCAGGGTCTTTACTATGGCAACTCTCTCTGCGTCATAGTTGGAGCTGTATGTTCCACATGGGCCAAATAGTTGGGTCTGCTTCATGGCCTAGTGGGGTAGATTGTCATAGAAACTGTGGTAGTCACATGGCACAACAGACTTCATTTCTTGCATATTTTGAACTTGGCCAGCATAGTTTTTCTTCTACCCTGGTACAGAGGCAGTTCCTTCATGCCTTTATGGAGAATGTCTGTGGAATCGCCACGCTTCAATGGCAGATGTGACCAGTCATCATCAAATCCCAGTTTGTACTTAATTTGACCATCTGGTGTGTACTAAAGAGCTCTTAAGTTAAAAAAAACCCCAGGGTCCCCCTTACCATGGCCTGGTCTAATTGAACACAGGTTGGTCAGTTTGGTGAAACTAGAAAAGAAATCATGAGTCAAATAATTGACAACATTTGGCTTCAATTTCCTACTTTCTTCCATGAGCCTGACATAATCAGTTGGGCAGTAGATGGACTTATTCTTAAACCTCTGCTCGATAGTGCTGTGAGCACAGTCCACCTCCATCTGTGTATGGCCCTTCTCCAGGAAATTCTGTGATACAGTAATACGTAATACCATTGACAGAGCTGAAATGTAACAGTGCAGAACTCACTGTGACATTGCGGTTCTGATAACCACATCCATCTGAATACAATATGAGATATTCGTCTGGAGTCAAATCAGATGACAAAAAATCAGCCACACAAGAAGCAAATTCATTTGCAGTCAGAGCACCCTCGCATTCATTCCAGAAACAACATACACAGTCCTTGCTCTATAGATAATATACAGTAAAATTATGGACACACAATTTTGTCCTACAATACAAAGCAGATGCATTAGTGCGTGGATGAAGCAGAACTGATTGCAGGTCCATGGTGATACATTTAATTTTGGGGTTGCCCATGCATTTTTCCTGGTTTGCCGTCTTTTCATCCTGTGCATGCTGCGCTTAGCTCTCAAGCGATGCTGACGGTATGCACCCTCTTCCACATTTCCCTCCTCAAAACCCACACAAAGATCACACCTATCTTTTCGAGGACGGAACATTGAAGGTAGAAAGTACCTTGACCCCCCACCTCCACCGACCCCAGACTCACACTTTTCTTCATTTAAAAGGTACACTGCATGTAAGTTCTGGAAAACAGGTTCCAAGTATAACTTACAGGAGTCCTTCAGCAATAGTGAGATGGCAACTTGGGCAGATCACGAAGAAACCGTTTAAGTACCTTTGATTCTGTAGTCTCCTCCCTCGTCCTTTTTTCTCTGAGCTGGAACCTCACCCCTCTGCTACACCCAACCTACAAGTGAGAACATTGTGAACCCACCAGTTGCAGTCCTATAGTACTCAGAAAGAAAGCCTTACACACTTTGACTCTGGTCCGATTCACATGCAGATCGTACTTCATGGACCATGATCTTCTGCTTTCTCTCTCCTTTTTCTCCTCAGGCTCGACACAGTCGAAACCCTTTAACAAAAGCAGCCTTTTCTGGCTTGGTCAAAGTCCAAACATAATCAAACACTTCTTTCTGTCCCGCGTCAGTCACTGTCTCACAATTTGCTTTTTTGCTATCACACTTTTTCCCAATCTTTTTGCCAGGCTTCAAAACTTCTTCAAAAGGTTCCCTGATCATTATATGTTCTCCCAATATACTCCAACCCATTCTCTCTTCTGGTCTTTTTGATGGTTGCTTTCCACTTCTCTAGCTGTCTCTTTCTCTTCCCTTGTTGTTTTAGCGCCCTCATTTGGTGAACCTCCGGCTCATTTGCTGATGAAAAGAAGAAAAGAAAAGAGAGGAGATATTAAGTACACATTAATAAAAAAATGTATTTTGTTTCACTTTGTTTGCTTTTTGTAAGTTTTGCTATCAACACCGATGAAACCTACTCAAGAGTAGACTGAGAAGACTGAATTTTTGTTAGGGTGTGTATTTCCACACTACTAAACAATATCGTTAAAAAGGTAAATCAGAGGCAGTACGAATGAAGAGACTTCGGTCGTTCAATCTGAATCCATCCATCCTTCACATATTCTACACCACCACAATAGAAACTTTGACAACTCGATGGTTTTATCACACTACTGGTCAAATATTGAAGGATTCTATCTGTACAACTCGCTATCAGAACTGATGTCAGCAAGGTTATCACAACGTTTTGGATATTAATGGTGAGAATATCGAGAATGATAGTTTGTACATGTGCATGAACCAAACCAAAGTACTTACCTTGTCATGAATGCACTGTTGATGAAGATACAAAAAAGAAATTCAGAGTAATGCGTGATCGGCGGTGATCGCCGCACTGATCCCGTGATCCGTAACGGTGGGCGACCAAAACAAAATAGACGGTTAGAATTCTTCAGTCGCGGAAGCCAAGCGGAATGTACGTTTAGAATTCCACTACAAAACAAGACTTTTGATTTGTCAAATTTGTTTGGGATTTTAATAGGACGTAGCCCTTCGTCATGTTGACCTATTTTTAGAAAAAACGCAATTCAAGAAAATTCGGAGTTAGACAGTCAGAATTCTCGGCGGACGATATATACATAGTGGGAATATTAAAATTTGTTTCTTCCTTATTTACTTTCATTACTGCTTCAACATAATGGAATGGACAGATTTTAAGTTGGGTGAAGCCCTTTGAAAGACTGAAAATAGAGAAAGATGGAAAAAAGTGGTAGCCCAATCATCCTGAGAGCCACAGCGGTCATCTAGACTAAGGGATGAATTTCAATTTTAAAAAATTTCGCTGCTTCAGATAAGTCCTGCTGAACAAAACAAAACAAAATCTTATTCTCTCTCTCTCTTCCAACAGCACTCCTGCCAACCAGAAATGAACAACTTGTCTTACTTGATGTGTTCTGAAACTCCACAACTGCAGATGAAAAATCTCTTCTTTGTATTTGCTGTACAAGCCCTCCTCCACTTCTCCCAGGGTTTTCAAAGTAACGCTCCAAGGATGCGTCCGTTATATCTTCCTTGAGGCCTGATACAAGCACACTGCTGGTCAGAAGGACAGGAGCCACTACAACTGGTGTATCCAAAAACAATTCCCTGCACTGCCACAGTAAAGTGCTTAAATCTGAGAATGAAAGCACAAAGGAAAGATTATTCAAAAGGAAGGGAACTAGTTCCTTCTGGAGCATCAAAACCTATCAAGGATACAATTATAATATATATACATTTCCGCAGTGGAAGTCCACGTCTTGTTTTCTCTATACTGTCCCATCTTACAAGTAAAATGAGACACAGAATAAAATTCTTCTTACTGAAAGCCATACTTTGAGGGACAATAAGACCAGTTGCTTAAAACAAGTTTTATTTGTTAGAGTATTAGAAGTCAGCACGTCTACTGATTTGATGCTGCATCATCGTTCGGGGTTTTTTTTCTCCTTGTTTTTGTCATTAATCAGAAATATTTGCTTGCCTGTATTACAACTGTGTCTTCATATGCAATATCTTAATTCTCTTTTTTACATTTTGGAGGATTTCTATTGCTGAAAATGCTAACATTTACATAATAAAATATTTTAAATAGAATTTGGTGCGACAAAGCAGGAATGGGCTTACGACTTGTAAGAGTTCATAAATTTAAAGTTTGGCCAAACTTTTGTGATTCTCTGCTGAGGGTAAGATGGAGTGGGGAGGGAGTGGGGTAGGGGTCTCCTTTGCACAGGAAAGGCAGTGAATAGGAGGTAGCTCTAGCCATGTGAGAAAGAATAAACTTTTGTTTAAGTTTGAGTAAAGACACAATAACAGCCTTTCTAAGCAGAGAAGAATCAACAGAAGGAAAAAAAAGAAGCAGGATCTACCATTGGCACCTTCCAACCAGCCATGAATTTAAAACTGAACACCTTACATAAATGTGTCATGATGTGGTGAAATCTGGTGCTTGTCAACTTTTGGGCATATATATATATATGTGTTGCGACGTGGTGGAGTCAGGCGTTTGTCAATTTATGGGCATATTGGGTTATTTGTATCATCTTTAAGCCTGTTCATTTGCCTTGCTTTTGGTGAAAAAAGCACCCACATATCTTTGATGCAAGTTGAGATATTGGCGATTGAAGGAGATGGGGTAGCCTGGTTTCAGAGGTGAAATTGGCGAGAAAATGGCCTCCAAAGTTTCGTAATTTCCCATAGCTTGAGAGTCCTAGGAAACTGAAAATTGACATTTTGTGTGCCTTTAATAAATATTTTTCAGTAAAATCCACACAGAAATACATTTTTTTAAAATGGATATAAAAGGCGTTCAGCCCCCTCCAAAAAAAGAAAAAAAAAGAAAATTTGAAAAAAATTGCTCAACAGTCAGAAAAATGCCAATTTCTTTAATTTCATTTTTTTGACGAGTGCCTGATTTCCCCACGATGTCTCACATATAGTTATTGGTATGCTCTTTAAGTTTGTTTGTTTTTCTTGCAAAAAATATCCATCTATCTTGAATAGAATTTGAGATATTTGCAATTGAATGAGGTGGCAGTAGCCTGACGTCAGAGGTAAACTTAGTGAAAAAATGACCACCACACTTTGGTGAATTCCAAAGCTTGAGGGTCTTTGGAAACGACAGATCAACATTTTTGCGCCTTTTATCAATGTTTTTCAGTAAAAATGCACACAGAAATGTTTTTAAATAGACATAAAAGAAGTTGTACAAAGAAAAAAAGTTGATAAAAATTGCCCAACATGCGGAAAAATGTCAGGCTTTTTTTTTTCTATTTCATTATTTTGAGAAGTGCTTGATTTCACCATGATGCCTCACAAATCTCATTGTAGAAGTCCTTTAAGTCCTAAGTCCACTATCTGTCGTTGCTGTGCTTGCAAAATGGACCATCCCATTATACCTACTTTTGCCATGCGTGTTTCTTTTGTGACTGCCACCACATTTTTGTTTTGGTTTTGCCAACACATATAGTACCACCAAACAAAATATAAGGCTAGTTGCATTTTGGAACAACTCTGAGTAATGTCATTTTGCTAACGCAGTGACAATGTGCAATATAATCCAATGAGCATGCAGCCACAGCTGAAATACCACCTCCAAGCATTAAAGACATTTAAAAAAAAGAGCTTCCATGTTTCGAAGTACTTGTACTAATTAAGACCTATGATGACATGCCACTTTCTAAAGAATCATAAGTCAACAACTCATAATTATACAGCCAACACTTCAATGAATTTGGACAATTGCAATCATGAAATGTTGAAAATGTTGTACTAAAAATTTAACTAAGCAACATTTGTAAACAAAGCCATCAGAAGATTCTATTAAACCAGAACAAGAAGATAATTAAATTTGGACTTTAAAAAAAAATCTCTTGAATTATAACTGCAAACAAAAATAAACCAGTTCTCAATCACAAAAAAGTTAATGACGTAAAAAGTCAAAAAGTAAAATATACATAACTAGAAATGTATTCTCTGTCTAATTTTTTTTTCCCGATTTTGTTCATTGGGCCACTAACTTTAATCTAACCCTCCTAGTGTCACTATCAAATAGCCTGGGGTGTCAGGGGAAACTAAACAATTTCATTATTCATGTGTTGCTATGTGCTGGAATCAGGCACTCATCAATTTTGGGCATATGGAGTTATTGGTATAATCCTAAAGCCTGTTCATTTTCCTTGATTTTGATGAAAAAAAGCTCATTTATCTTGAATAAAAGTCGAGATATTTGCGATTGAAGGAGGTGGGGGTGGTCTTGTGTCAGAGGTAAATTTAGCGAGAAGATGGCTGCCAAAGTATCTACGGCTGTAGTAGTCTTGAAAACTGAAAAATTACATTTTTTGGTGCCTTCGATCAACATTCATCAGCAAAATTCAAGCAGGAAAGTGTTTTAAAACTTATAGGTTATTGAGTCCAAAATAAAAAAATTCAATAAAAATGTCTTTCTTTGATTTTATTATTTTGATTAGCGCCTGATTCCACCACGATGCCTCACATATTATGTGGGAAAGTGCTTTAAGAACAGGCAAACCAAGCAAGTAAAGGCCATAAATAAACCTAAACATTAATTTAAAAAAAAGTAGAATGTAAATAGTAAATAGGAAGTACAGCTCATGTGTGAAGGATTGAAATGTTAAATTTGGCGATATATAAAAAACAGAATAAACGAACTAATAGCAATTCAAATTATGGCTGATTAAATTGTCTGCCACACCTTAGAACAAAACTGACAGTCGATTTAAGAAGCTGTCAACACTTAAGTTGTTCTCGCATTCGATCCCGACATTGGGGATTGCCTTCTAAGTGACACAACTTCCTGGGCCTTCGGCATATTGTGGTTTCAAATAATTTTTTGAAAAAGACTTGCATCAATAACAAATTTATTAAAATATTTCAAACCTGTGTACGTTGTCATGTTCAAACCAATGATGATGGAATTAACTTCCTCCTGCTGGATCTGCTCTTTGACTGAAAATCCAGTAGCATTTTCAATCTGATACTTGATGTACTCCATGATTTTGCCATTAGAAAAATCTTGTCCATGCAGTGACATCAAATTGTAATGAAATAAATATTCCTCTTCTTTTGCCATGCACACTGAAACAATGTTGTCTGTGACTTTATGCTCTTTCTTGCACATGTCACTGGCTCCTGAAAAAAAAAGAAAGATTAGTTGATGAAAGTACTGTACACTGTTGGTGTATCTAAATGACTAAACACTTTCTTTCTGTTTGTCTAGTACATGAAGGCAGTGTTTTACTACGTCAAATTTCAAGAAGTATACTGAGACAACATTACCGAGTCATTTCCTAAAATCACAACATTAATGACTTACTGAAGAAAAAACAACCATCCAAATAAAAATGAGTAATTACACGGCAATAAAAGGGAAGAAAGAAGAAACCCAAACAAACACCTCCCTCACCTACCCAAAGGAATAATAAAATACTGAAAGCCTAAACAAATACATTTGAACCAATCAGAGTACACATACTTGCATTATTGTTACTCTCTGAAACTATTGTTACTTCTACCTGGTTTAGTTGCCATTAATTACTGTAATAATAATCATCTCTATTTCTTAATTTCATCAACACTTCTTTGAGTAGAGCAAAAAGGAAGGTATGCAAATAGACTTGTGTCATCAAAATACAGCATTAAAACTATGAGTAGGTCATTACATAATATGTCATACTAGCTGGGCACCCGTTCGATGAACGGACTCAAAAGAATCAATCGCCAAGTCATTGTCGAATCAGTGCGCAGTGCTAGTGAACGAAGCCTCACTTTTTTACAATGGTGCCTTAGGAGACAGACTTTCCCAAGATTAGATCAGAACGAAACTAATGAAAAACCGAAAATTAAATTACAGAGACTTCAGACTTTAAATGATTCTGAACCACTGTTAATTTTTTCAAATTCGAAAGTTAAGTGATTTGGAAGTTTTAGGTGACCAAAGTGATGAACTTTCACAAATATAATATACAGATACTGCAAGTAAAATTTTCAAGTTTACAGTCTTTAGTCAGACACGATATTTTATCGCTCAGCCAGTTGAGTGGCAATCAATAACTCAGTGGTTAAAGCACTGGATACGTTACACGTTACATGGATCTATAGTACACTCCATAACTGTCATCTTGTACAAAACTGATCAGATGCAAATAATCAAAATACCAAAAAGCTCAAGTTCGGCTTGTTACAAAAGACACACCTTTTCATTTGATTAACTGGTAGGCCTACAAAGCAAAAAAGGACAGCCGATGGAGCAGGGAACATTTGTCTGGGAAATCCTCGAGGATGAAAACAGGCTATATATACATTTCAATACTACTGGCAGGGGTAGAAAACTAAAACCAGGGTTTCCACTCACAAAGAAGAAAACATTTCCTACTTCCTCCCCCCCCCCCCCCCCTCCCGTTTTCTTCTGGCTTTGTATCCATTTTAAAGGGGAATAATTTTTAAAAGATGACAAAGCGAGGGAAAAGAAAAAAAGAGAAATTAAAAATATGCAAGGTAAAAATCCTATGGCAATGGATTATCCCTCTCAATGAGATGTCAAAAACAGGAGTTGTAGGATGAATGAACGTAATGAAAACAAAGACGTAATGTAAGAAGTCTCTTCGTACTTGTCGTTTTATCAAATTATGAAAAAAAGGACAGTGGGTTGGTGGGTGTGGGGGGGATTGTATTCATTGGCTGTTGGCTTGACACTTGCAAAAACAAAAGAAATTGACAGCATGTGTCACAAACCTTAGATCCTGGTTGTGCATCAGAACACACCATGCTCTGCACTGCAGCTGATTGTTTCAAGTTTTAAACTTGATCTGCTTTTTTCTTAACATTCTCTCGTTGGCCAAGGCTGTCACTGTTATCTAATTGCAAAAGCACTGGAATTTTGTAACACCTTGTCAAACAAATGTTGACCTTAGTCTTGGCTTTGCCGCAGCAAATATTTTTCTCAGGACAAAGTGGCACAGAGCGACTACAAGGGCTCTGCACAGAAAGTGTCAATGTAATACTGTTCAAGTTAGACAGCTGCATGTGACGTAGTGACCTAGACTGTTGGGGTCTGATTGCTTTTCTTCCTTATAGATATGCTGGGAAGACGGGGATTGGTCAAAGTAGCCAAACGGCAGGTAAAGCTTTGAAAGTATCAAATCAAGGGTGTTAAGATCATATTTTTATAAATTCTAAAAAAAAATTAATAATTTTGCCAAATTCACAATTCCTTTTTTCAGTTTTCCCAGTTGAGTTGAAACCCTTTAAAACTAAACACATTTATTAACAAGTATTATAATATCAAAATAAATTTCCCTTCATCATTCATGCTTATATTTTTGTTACCAACATACTGACCTTTACTTTCTTCAAACTCAATATAAACACACTTATGAAGACCATCCAGAAGCATTGTGTCTTCCTTAATATTTCCAGTCTTGATAGCTGGGGCATCAAAGTAGTTGATGTAAAAATCTTTGGCCTTTTTAGCATCCTGTACTTGTACTTTGATAACTGTTCTAGGACATAAGGACACATTTTTAGGGTCTCCTGTAAAGTCGGCCATGTCTCTACTGCCTCTCCTCTACACCTTGAATAACTCTGTTAAATTCCAGCTGTGCAATAGGTAATATATGAGACTGACACACTATGGTTTACTTTTATGCAGTTGTATACAAATACAAAAAATAGTCATCATTTTTCTTAGATGCCTTTAAAAAGACCCAAAAATGAACCATTGGCAGCACTTGTTTGATCAGCCACTCAAGCCAGGATAATTCTTTCTGTTGAGTTCTGAAAAAAATGGGGGGAAAAATATTGAAATTAGAGTGGGTTAGGGTGAGGTAGGAAATGGGGGCACTTTTTCAGACTCTGCTAAACTGAGTCAACCACCAAGTGTCTACAGCTATGGTTAGACAATGGTATGAATTCTGCCCTGACGGTACACATTTCTGCAATTCGAGCTTAAAACCAGACACTCCTATAGCAATCAGGATCACATGTAAAGACATGGGGCAAGTTTTATGAGTGACGAGCTCAGGATGAATGAAACAAAAAGGAGAGACGTGAAAGACTGATTTGAAACTATAGACATGGTGAGACGAGGTCAGTCCAGTTCTATGACTGCCAAAGGGGAAACAGTCTTTTTAACTGACCTTTACATGTGTCATGATGGCATGGAGGAATTACACGCTCGTCAATTTTTGGGCATATGGAGTTATTTGTATAATCTTAAAGCCTGTTTATTTGTCTCGTTTTTAATGAAAAAATACCCATCTTATTTTAAGAGGAATTGAGATATTTGCTATTGAAGGATGTGGGGGTTACCTGGTATGGGAGGTTAAATTAGCACAAAAATGTCTGACTAAGTTTGGTGACTTCCAAAACTTGAGAGTCCTTGGAAACTGCAAATTTACATTTCCTGTGCCTGATTATTATTTGAACGTTTTTCCTGGAAAATTCACACAGAAGTTTGTTTTAAATAGACATAAAAGGTGTTGAGCCAAAAAAAATAAAAAATTCGGCAAAATTACCCAACAGGAGGGAAAAAATGTTGATTTCTTTCATGGCAATAATATTTGACGAGCGCCTGATTTCACCATGACGCCACACATATTATATGACTGCACTCATTGGTTGCTAATTAGCTCGGTATTCTTAAAATCTGACTCTCATATGTTCTCACCAAGATGTCTGTCATACCGCTACAACAGCCCACCTACATCCCGTCACTTCACGTTCTTGCTACTTAAATCATGATCAAAAGAGAAACACCACAGCAGTAATGGGAATTATGTCCACGGGGCCAGTCTCAAGCAACAAAGGTCAGGTTATGGTGCACTGCTCTTTAAGCACTTATGACTTTATTGCGCTGCAATTAAGTGCAGTAAAGCTCTTACTAAAAAAAGCATTGCTCCGAGTTCAATATTTCAGCTTATGCTTTCATGGTCTTAACATAATACATAGCTTATCCGTTTTCTCCTCCCTCCTGCCCGCTCTTACGCATCAAATTCTTTACTCTTGTCAATCCTATTAGAATACGTGAAGACAGACAGAAATAAACATGAAGTGATCAATATATCTTATAATCCTGGTCGATTGTACTCATATGGGGTGTTTGTTTGTGAACGAGGCCCCCTGTTTGTATTGATGTGACAATGACCAGTTGCCATTCGTCGCCCATGCCGAATTTGCCTGATGGCAGACACCAACGGTATTGGGGACAGCGCCCAAGGAGCAACGATCCTTGACTGATCAACCATTTGTTGTTGTTCTTCACATAGTGCTCTGACCCGGAGTTCGCCAGTAAAAGGGGAAACGATTACCTCTCAATTTCACAACGGAATAGGAATATATTTAAAAAATGATATAAACTTAGGTATAGAATCAAACACCCTAAGTAAAAATTAGAAGAATCGAACAATGTTGACCATTCGCCGTTTTCCTTAATGACGGCAAGGATATATAGACTAGTAAGAGAGCCAGGTATGTGGTAAATGAGGGTGTAATCATGCGCATAGTCAATGTAAACAAACAAAGAAAAGGGTTCACAGAGCAGGGACTGAGTTGTAGACTTCAGAAAGAGAATTTCACAGATTCGCTAATCCTGAATTGCCACTTTTCACTGTAGGCTATGCCCTAGCATACACATTTCAAACTGAAATTTCTTTAAAAAAATTTACGAAGTGACTACTTCTCTGAATGCTCGAGAAAATAAACTTGATCTCTATTTCTCCGGAAGGTTTCCGTTCTCAAGAGTTTTTGGTCATTTGCGAGATTTAGGCGTCATCTTTCATTCTGCCATTCTGCGAGGACTGGGAAGAAGCATTTTTTGCATCAAACTCAATTTCTAGAGCTAGAGATTTTTAAATGTCTGAATATTCAGATACTTCAGTTGTGGTTGGCGCAACGTTCCCGGACTCTACTTCATTTGAAAATGTCTTCAAAAGGTACTGCGAGAAATCAAGACCTCTCGACCTTGGCAGTAACCTATTTTGCATTTAGTAACCCCTAAAGCAAACACTAAAATATCCTTCATCAAACAAAAAAAATCCCCCCTCCCCCTCATTCACACCTTATACACACACACACACACGGGCCACTCCATTTGCAGATTATCAACAAATCTCGAGAACGGACACCGTTCGGAGAAATAAAGTTCAAGTTTATTTTCCCAAGTGTTCGGAGAAATAGATTTGGCCAAAAATTTAATTGAGCACTGCGAAATGACTCATGGCGAATATTTACTTGGTTCAGAAAAGGAAAGTCTAATTAAGCATAACACGGTGTTGCCATTAAGACCCTTTTTTTCTTCCGAAGTGACTATTCGGATTCGAGTCCGAATAGACACAAATTATATTCGGACTCTGAATTCTGACTTCTGACCCTTGTTCCTAAATATTTCCAGCATTTATGAAATTTTTTAAAATTGTAATGAAAACAATCGAGATGTGAGGTTTAATATCCAGTTACACAATGTACTAGTATCTTAGATCTAAACTGGCCCTCCCAGCATCATTAGCCTAGTATGAACAGAACAAACAAGTTGAGCTGACCTTGCCGGGGGCAAAGTTAATTATATCGACCAATGAGATTGCGCGTAGCACTCACGCACTCTCGGCTTGCTGGGGGAAGAGATGTTGGGAAGGGGCAAGGTTGTCGGATTTTGTGCGATATGATGTTTAAAAAATTATTAATTACAGAAAATCTAAAACACACAACAAAATGAAATTAAACATGTGGCGAAAGACAGATGGTGGTAGAAGTAAAGATGATGCTGTAGTACCGTGGTGGTGGAAAGATCCTGAGTTGTCAGTTACCGTGTACTTAGACACAGCCTTGGGCAATGAGAGTGCAGTCTTTTGACCAGTGACACAATTACACAGTCCTAGTAGGTAATTCTAGTTCTAATTCTGGTTTTACATAATTTCCCCCCACAACAGTTATAGCCTATTATGTAACCTCCTTGCTTACACTCACATTATAACTCACTTAGGAGCCGAGTCTGAATAAATAAAACATTTTTTCTGACTCGAGTCCGAATAGATAAAACCCATATTCGGACTCGAGTCCGAAAAGATAAAAAATCTAATTGGACTCGAATACGAAGAGAACTGGCCTTTTTTTAGAACCCCTCCCCCCTTTTCCAAACCTGTCTCCAAAACTACCTCCTTCTTCATCATGCCCTTGTCAAATAAATAAAAGTACAGAATGGTTAGTAGAAATTAGCAATCATACTCACTTGGAATACCACAACCAGAAAAACACGAGAAAAGTAAGTAGATCAAAGGTTAGGCGATGAGGAAGTGAAAACAAGGCCACAGATAGGTTCATCCAAGTCAGCGTACTACTAGATCTAACTCCTAGATCTAGGGCCTAAACAATTCATCATAGCCTACGTTTGTTTCTCTGTTCTAATCAGCTTTCATTGATGATTAGTGAGAATCATCAATCATAGTGATTAACAGCTTTGAACAATGAATCACGTAGTAAAAATGGTATTTTTTTACTTTCCCTCCCGTCTCACACTCGGCTACCAGTTGTCTATTTTCTACTAAATATTGATGCCCAGAACATGAATATCAACTTAATTTCCGTCGCAAATTAATAGTTTTTGAAATATTTTATTGTTTTTATCCGAGATAGACGTGCTTTGGACCAATCGGGGGGTTCCAGGGGGGCCTGCCCCTCTGGGGTAAAAGAAAATCTGGGGGGTCACAGGGCTATTTAGTAGAAAATAGGCAACTGGTAGCCGAGTGTGAGACCAGTAAGCTCTCTGGTGAGACGGGAGGGAAAGTAAAAAAATACCATTTTTACTACGTGATACATTGTCCAAAGCTGTTTTTACCCATAATTTGATATTTTACAGTTAGATTTGAAATTGTCTTGAAAATAATTGATTTGCGACAGTTTTAGTGGCTTTATGTGTGATCTGCAGCAAACAGTACTGCAGTTTGACCCCTGAAATAGTGCATCTGTGTGCGGGAGTGAAAGTAAAAATTTACCGTAAAAATATGTAATGGTTCTGAACTGTGCACAGGTATCATATAATGCGGCCACCTCTATTCTCACCCGGGGTGAGAATAGTGCAGGCGGGTCTTGTGGCTATTCTCACCCGGTGCGCGCGTCAACAAATTTTGCGTTCACCCTAAACCACAGAATTCTACACTGTGATAAGAGAAAAATTGTAGAATTCTGTGCTGTGAACAAACGTTCCATTACAACTGTACTTGTAGCCTACTAAAAGCGTACAATTTTGTCTGTGGGCAGGGGAGAGAGAGAGAGTGAGAGAGAGAACAAAACAAAATGGCGACCCGCGTAGTTCGGCTCGATTCGAAAAGTTAAATAGCCGTAGCATCTTTGTAGACAACCAAATTAATTTACTTTTATGTTTTAACATCATTTTTGAACTTTGTTTTGGTCAATTTGATCGTCCACACCGATAGACAGTATTCAGAAAGAGACAGAGAGAGAGAGAAGAGGGGAGGAGTAGATCTTGCGAGAACTTCCGGGCGGGTGAGAATAGCCACTTTCATATAATGCCGTAACGAAGAGAACAGTAGTCGGATGATGTTGAAATCTTCTAATGTCAAAGTAAAAGTTGCACTTCGAAATTGAAACTGAGACACGCATTAGCTTAGCCTGGCTTAGGCTTAGAAATTCTAATCAAGAGTCAAAGGAAGTTGCGAGAGAAAATCCAAATCTATATTATCTAGATCTAGATCTAGTCTAGATCTAGATCTAGACTCTAGATCATCTAGATCCTCTAAAAAGGAAGTAAAACTAAATAATATATATATAGGTTAGATCCTAGACCTGGTTGTAACTTCATTTTGATCAAGGCAACGACACTTACCATTCTAAAACAGCTCGTTACCTGAGAGCCTCCCACAACAACGCCCCAGGAACACGAACAGGAGGGCGGAACTTTCAGTTTTCCCAAATATATTTGGTTCTTGGAAACCCACCGGAAGTTAATGGGTTGGACCAAAGATTGGACTATGGGAAGTCTGATGATCAATCTGATACAACCAATGATAGTACATAACAGCTAGGCCTAAGTTATTAAAAGGGCTCGGACTTTAAACCCCAAAGTTATTAAAATATTACCTCCCAAAAAATAAAAAGCAAAGAAATGAAAGAATGGTAGGGAAAGAGTGGTCTAGAATGTTCTATTTATGATAGCTTTGGACGACAAGTGAAAAAAATGGAGCCCAGCCAAGGAGTTTAGAACTTACTTTTAATCTCCTTGAGCCCAGCTTTTTTAATGCGAGTTTTCGTAGGTCTATTATTTGGTAACTTCCGTTCGTACAAAGGGCAGGTTGCGCTCTCCACAATAATAATAATGATAATCTTACTACACAGAATTCTACACTTAGTGTAGAATTCTGTTCTACACTTAGTGTAGAATTCTGTGTCTTACTACTAATGGCGAGCTAAGGCCAAATTTTGCGAACAGTATATTCTCAAAAACTACCGAATGAAAAAATATGAAACTTTGTCAGTACCCATAACTTGAAACGTAGTGTTGCACTATTGTATTTTCATTACGATCAAATTTGCGAGAAGAAAGCCCAGTTTAAGTTAAATTCAGTCCTTTTGTAGCGATCGCTATCATTTGCTTCGACATTGTATATTCACTGCGGAGTGCCGACTGCGCCAAATGGTATTATGTGTTCAGTACTCTCTGGTTGTGCATAAAGTAGTTTACGGGAATTCCCGGTTTCGGTCTCACACCTTTAGGAGGAGAGGGAAGAGGAGGAGGAGGAGGTGTAGGTGTAGAAGAAGAAGAAGAAGAAGAAGAAGAAGAA